CTTCTCAGTGGTCTGTGCTTGCGACCCGCGTCCACTAAGCCGAGGGCCAATGTGCCTTCAGTCCGTGAAGCTGCGACCCGTCCGCGGCAAGTTCTGCGACCATCATTCTCGTGCTGGATGGCCATTCGGATGCTCTCATGAGTTGCGATTGCTCGTGCCTCTCGCAAGCTATATGTATCCACCCTCTGATCCGCTACCAGCGCGTCAACGACGAGAGCATGTGCCACTTTGACCGCCAATTTCAGCGGCGATTCCATCCATCGGTTCTCTAGGTCGGGAGCAATCTTCTCGTGTTCTAACAAAGTCCGGACCATTTCTAAGCTCCCAGCACGAGAAGCAATCCCCAGAGCCGTGTCATGCATCGCCAAAGTGCCTTGGTTGATCCTGAGCCGTTCGCCTTGCTGCACCAACAGTCTAACAGCCTCCACGTGGGGACAAGCAGGCACATTTTGATTGGTTACTTGTGAAAAATAAGCCATTCGAGATGTCGTCATTATTGCCACCTTCTGTGCCGACCATAAGTGCGGGGATCTAGATTTTAACGGCTATATTATAATGGAAATTGAATTGAATCATCCCTTGCACCCACTTTTTGTTTATTCAATTATTTTGCTCGTGACGGTTTATAACAATCCGACTCTACTTTTTCACTGCATTGCGAAGTCTAAGATGAACAAGAAAGATCTCCAAGCTGGAAAAAAGCGTTCTCCGGAGACAACCGAAGCTTGGATTCTTGGGAGTGGGACCGCATCCTTTGCGGCCGCATTGTATCTTGTTCAGAATGTCAAGATACCTGCCCCCAAGGTACATGTCCTGGATTCCAACGTGTCAATCGAAAATGCCCTGCACCACAAGGGTAACTCTATGGCCGGATATGACCAGTTCGCAGGGTGCTTGCCTGTTCCGGTCGGCACACCTTTGAAAGAGCTCCTTGCTTCTGTCCCTTCGGTCGGGAACCAGGGACAGACTGTTTTGGAAGACATTCAGAACGCAGAAATAAACCGAACATCTGTTACATATGATCACGGCACACGTTTCGTGGTGAAAAGGAATAGCACTCTGAGAAATATCCCTACCAAGTCATTGAACTTGAGCTCTAAACAACGTCTGCAGCTAATATGGTTTATTCTGAAGCGGGAGAAACGTTTAGGGAGAAACCAGATACAAGACTGTTTGCCCAATAGCTTCTTCCAAAGCTCATTTTGGGTTGTCTGGTCTGCTCAGTGCGTGATTTCTTCGAGTTGATTAGGACGCTTTTCTGCCAATTCTGACTAATATATTGCAAAATCCTTCAGATTCGGCTTTCAGCCATGGCATAGTGCAGCAGAATTCAGGCGTTCTCTCCGTCTATACCTCAACGAATTCCACAGCTTGAGTATCTTGAGCTGCCTGGATATTACGGGTTACTACCAGCATGAGTATATTCTCATGCCCGTGTATCGATTTCTTCACAGCCTGGGGGTGGATTTCCAGTTTGACACGAAGGTTGCCGATATTGCGATGATTTCCCACAACAGTCACCAAACCATTTCACAACTGGAGCTTATTCAGGGAGGATTTGGAACACGGAAACAACTTGGACAAAACGACATTGTTATCATGACACTAGGATCTACTGTCTCCGGCTCAGCAACAGGAACGAACGACCATCAACCAATTTGGCAGCCAGTCGAAACAGGCGAGGAACTGGACGAAAATTGGTCACTATGGTTGGAACTTGGAACCAGAGACCGCAAATTCGGCAATCCCTATAATTTCTGCACTCGTAAACCTGAATCGATGATGGAATCCTTCACAATCACTACTGAGGATTTAACCTTTTTCCAGCAGATCAGTGCATTATCACATTCTATGGTCGGCGCTGGAGCATTCATCACCTTACCCGAAAGTAACTGGAGATTGAATATCTGTATTCCCACACAGCCGGTTTTCTTCGAGCAGCCGTACAACGTGCGCATTCTTTGGGGCTTTGCACTCTTTCCGTGGGGTAAAGGGAGCTACGTGAGGAAGCCAATGCTCGAGTGTTCGGGCGCAGAGATCATGACCGAACTGCTCTGGCATCTGGAAATCCTGCCCGAGATAATCATTCGGCGCACTGTGACCATTCCGCGCGTGATGCCCAGAATGAGTAGCATTCTATTAGCCCACTCCTCGCGCGACCGCCCTGAGGTCATACCCCAGAATACTTGCAATATTGGCTTGATTGGGCAATTTGTAGATATGCCGCGGTATTCGTGCGCAGACATGAGTTACGGTGTTCGGACAGCGCAGATGGTTGTATCTCGGTTGATGGGCGTCGATATACAACAAGAAGAAAGGCGGAAACTACCAATGCCGACTCTGCTGAAAATTCTCTTCTGGAAGTGACAAAACCTACCCCTTCCGCCCGCTGCTGACGAGGAGAACGCGTATACCCGCGATAAGATTCAAGCTCAGTGGAAGCAGGAGTGGAAATATAGCACCAACGGCGGTCATTTACGGAAGATTGACAGCAATCTACCGGCGGCGTACACCCGAAGATTATACGGAAGCCTACCCAGGGGCCGAGCGTACCTGTTAACCGAACTACGCACGAGCCACAACTGGCTGTTCACCTTCGCCATGGCTTTCGGCTTCCGCGACGACGGTCAGTGCGTTTGCGCCGCGCAAGAAACAGTCATTCAAGCTCTGCATTCCTGCGCTTCACCACTTTCGATGTTGCTATTGAGACTACACTACCGCGTTTTGTCTGGCATCTAGAAATGGGCAGTCAGTTTGTTCAATATTTCCAAACATCTGATCAGGGCTACTATATACTTTATTGCAATCCTTGCCATGGGTCTTTCAGGTCGTGTCAGCAGAATTCTACGATAGGCATGGAGATTTCATCAGGTGGGAGAGGTGGGAGCCGAGTTTTGTGCCTATTTGCAAGCTCTTGCTCAAACTGGGCATGCTACAGAATTCAAGTTTATTCCTCCCAAAAGAAAGTTCAAAGCCGGTCAGTATGCTAGTTGAAACCTGCGACCAGATTCTGATGTCTCGTTATTAGCCAAAGCCGGCGGTAATCCTAGCACTACATCGTCACTTTATGAGCATGAGCTTGAAGCCTTACCTTACTATGTCTGTGAGGACCTTGTCGGGCTCTGGGTCAATATCATCGAGCCTAAGATCAGATATGTGATGATTTCAAACGAGACTGGTGGCCCGAAGCTATACCGTTCAAAAGACCACGGCTGCTTTATAAGTTCGGTATGCTCATCAACCCGCTTAAGGTTCCCTGCTTACTTTAGAAAGAGAGGATTGAGCTACTGGCCTCGTTGCTCGGCGGAAGATTGCGTGAGGTTGCGACCCCCGATGAGCTGTGGATTACTGCTAGTCATTGCACTGGTTTATGCAGATCAGAAACATATCAGCGCATCCTTGAAAAATACTTGAGATATAAGGTGAGCTTCCCGAAAATCACTTGAAAGCTCCAAAGGAGTCATCCGGCTCCCCGATCAACTGGTTTTTATGGCATCGGTCTACGTAGAGGAAGGGACGCCCAGCTTTGGACGACGCATGCAATCACCTACACAAATCAATCGCAAAGAGCGCCGATAGAGATGCTGGGCATCACCTTGGAAGAGGTCGAACGGCAGCTGTTGGTCGCAAAGCCTTGGAAAACGCCGGGCAAAGATGGTCTGCCGGCGATAATCTGGAAGATGACATGGCACGTAGTCAAGCACAGGGTCTTGGAGCTATTCCAGGCGTCGCTGGAAGAAGGCACGTTACCCAAGCAGTGGAGACATGCGAAAATCATACCGCTCAAAAAACCGAATAAAGAAAATTACACCATTGCCAAAGCATGGAGGCCAATTTCGCTCCTTGCGACCCTGGGGAATATTCTGGAATCGGTCGTCGCAGAGCGGATCTCACACGCAGTGGAGAAGTACGGCCTGCCACAGAACGTCGGACGACATTCCAAACGAGTGGATGCAGCACTCCCAGGAAAACATACCCGGCAAGTTGTATGGTCGATTATCGTGGAAAGAAGCGAGCGTGCTGGCCCAACTCCAGACTGGCATGGCAAGACTTAATGGATATCTTTATCGAATCAACGTCGCAGAGACGGATCAATGTGCATGTGGACAAGCAAGAAAGACCGTGGAACACTTCCTCTTTCGATGTCGGAAGTGGACCGCACACCGGATAGGAATGCTAAAATGTACCCATACTCACCGAGGGAATATATCCCTCTTCCTGGGCGGAAAGTCGCCGTCAGATGATCAGAACTGGACGCCGAATCTAGAAGCAGTGCGAGCCATAATACGGGTTGCAATCGCCACGGGCCGACTCGACGCCACTTAGCCGTGTCAACCAACACAAATCAACCCTACCCCAACCCAACCCTAATCTAACCCCCACCAACTACCTTGTGCCAGAGACGGTAGACGCGCTTCAACTGCCGAGGATAGGATGCTGAACACTTGGAGAAGCGCCTTCAAGCAGGTCTACTAACCAAAGACTAACCCACAAGGACCCGCCAAGATATTGATATCTGAGATGACATATACTGAAAGAAATCCTGTATGGGCTCCAAGGAGGCACAGAATTAGCCATAGCATGTATATTTAGATCAGTGATAGTTGCCCTTTCGGTTCAGCCGCCGGGCGTTAATGAATTGTGTGTGTGTGTAAATTAGACACGGCAATTACGAAGAGACACATGTATATAGTTGTTGAATCCTGCATATCGTTCGCGAAATTGGATCCCATGTCACGTGATGTATATAGATCTGTAGGAGTGGCTGCCTGTTAGGCAGGCACTACGCTAGGCAGCAGGGAGATGAGCTGCTGCAACTATAAATAGCTGCATCCTTTCATAGGAATCAATATTATCACACTTGTACCTCGATCCAGGGTTTCAACTGGTTATGAGCCTCTCTTTTCTAGACTATTCTTTGGATTGACACAAGTGATCAGTGATCAAAACACCAGACCCCAGACGCCCAATTCAGGGCCCCAGACAAGACACAATCCAAGATGGATGAAGTCAACCCAGATTGCCAGCTGAAAGGCAAGACCAACTTTATCAGTTGGAAACGCGAGTTTGAGCGAGCAGCCAGAGCAAATGATGTGCTTGAGTTTCTCACGGGCGAAGAAGTCGTCCCTCCGAAACCCAACAAGGATGAATACTTTGTGAAGGCCTTTGGCACCGAAGCTCGTCGGTCCACTCGGATTAAGAAAAGCTTAAGTCCGACGACCGACGACGAAAATGAGACGGATGATGGCCAGGCAGTTGTCTTGACGACCAACAACACACTCCGATAGCAAATTGATTACAATGATCACAAAACTGCGAAAGAGAAGATGAAGCTTGCAAACAAGTTACTCGATATATGGATTACCGACGGCATTAAAATCGAGATTGAGGATTGCGCGGACGCCAAAGAGGCTTATGATTTCATCAAAAAGCGATACGCGGTCACAAATGAACGCGCACGCGACATTCTGCTGAATCGATTGAACGATCTCAAGCTAGAACACTGCCTATCTGTGACCGACTACACAAATCAAGTCCGCCAGATCAAAGCTGATCTCAAGACGGTCAAATATGACATGACTGACGACATGTTCGCAACCGCCCTTCTTCATGGCCTTCCTCCTAGCTACCGCAGCTTCAAGGAGAAATATGATTGGATTAGATCGACCAAACCTGACGATTCACCTGATCTGGACTATCTTTTCGAACGCATGCATGTTGAAGAAATGCACCAGCTTCAAATAAAAGAAGAGAGAAAGGCCAGGGACAAAGCCAAAAGAGATGCGAGCAACAGCAGCACCATAAACATGGACAACCCCACTCGTTACAGGTCGAGGCGGGAGGACAGAAGCCACCTCAAGTGCACCTATCCTGGCTGTGGCAAGACTGGCCATACCGAGGAATATTGCTGGGTTAAGAACCCCGAGAAAATTCCACGATCACTCAGAGAAAAATTCAACAACAGGGCCGTTGTCACTGGCGGTATGGGTGGTGTAGCGGAAATGGATCCCACCGATTCCAAAGACACCTATATCCGGACTGATACTCTAGGTACGGGTCCCTCTTCTTCAACTCATGCGAAAACCGCTGACTCTCCGATACAGATGCATAGAGCTATGTCTTGCATCAAGTTGCGCAGATCAGGGGGAGTTGATATGAAGGATCCAGCGTCTACAACATTGGATTTCTCTAAACTTGTATGGGGGGGCTTTCCTGGCAGGCAATTTCTGTACAACAGACACATGGCTCGCTGACACTGGAGCGAACATGCATATCGTTAATGACATGAAATGGTTCAAGAAAGATACTTTCCGCCCGTCCAATTTAAAAATCAGCACTGCAGACGGGTCCACTACCCTTGGAATTGAAGGAACGGGAGTTGTCAACCTTATCTTAAAAAGCCCTGATGGGTTTCCAGTGAATACATCGCTATCGGAAGTTGCCTATGCTCCTCGAGGAAAATGCAACCTATTTTCGGCAGGAGTGTTCACCCGAAAGGCCAAATTAACCGGCATCTACAATGACCGGTACATGACATGGATAAATGATGCCGGACATACGATAGGACATGCCATCTTCGGCAACGGTCTGTATCACCTTGACACCGCGAAACCTTCACATGATGAGACACCAGGTGATGTCGTCGCAGCCACAGTGGATTTCGATGATCCTGTATGGAGATGGCACCGGAGGTTGGGACACCTAGGCTTCCAAAACATGCTGAACCTGCTGCGCAGCTCAACTGGGATGGAAATCACCGAGAAGCAGATCAAAGCCAAGCTCAAGGCCGTATGTCCCATATGCGCGACGACAAGGGCCTTGGTTAAGATTCCGCGTGACCCCGCCACGCGTCATGCTCAACAACCGGGGTGGATGATACACATGGATGTATGGGGACCATACCCCATTGAAGGCTTTGATGGAACCAGGTACTTCTTGTTCATCACTGATGACTGTACACGATATACGTGGAGCGCTCGATTCGATAAAAAGTATCAGCTCTTCGAAGTTTTCAAGTCGCTGGTCAAACTGATCCAAAAGGTTTTCAATATCACCATCCGGTGCTGTCGCTTCGATAATGAATTTGAAAGAGGTCCGATTGGTAAATGGTGCAATTCTCATTCCATCGCCCGAGAGCCCATCGAGCCATACGCCCACTATCAGAATGGTGTTGCTGAGAGGACAAACCGTACGATTCGTGAAAAAGCTGCGCCTATGGTCCAAGAAATTTCCATTTCTGGACAAGTCTCCAAAATCATCTCTGAGAAGGGCACCGAACTCTTGCGAACGTCCAAGATTCCCGAGAATCTCTGGCCCGAAGCTATACAACATGCGGTTTGGCTGAAAAATCGAGCCCCGGCACGTGCATTGCGCAAGAAGGATGCAAAAACACCATATGAAGCCTTACGGGGAGTGAGACCAACCCTCACAAGAGAGAGAATATGGGGCAGCCGAGCATATGTCACGTATCCGCAAGAGCTGAGGAACACCGCTGAGATGACGAAGTTACATAACCCCCGTAGCTGGCTAGGCTACTTTGTCGGATGCGAGAGTGAAGCAATTTATCATATCTATTCCCCGCAAAAACACAAGGTTTATCGTATCGGCGTTGCCAGGATCGAAGACGGTGAAGGCCTGAGCGATTCTCATGATGCGCCATGTCTAGAAGATAGGGTTCCTACCCCAGATGCTGAGAGGCCGAGCAACAATCACTCGGAACAGGAGACTGAAACTTCTAGTGATTCAGAGAGTAACTACGACAACAGTGGCTACCGCCATGATCAACAGATTAGAACCTCCCCAGGCGAGGAAATTACTGACCAAGAGCACCATCTCTCAGAAGCGACGCAAGAGTCCCAAGATGAATCTGAAGACGCTGACGATGAAGATGAGACCGATGGCAGAGACTTGGGTCCCGCAATCATGTCCAAGTATTTCAATCAATACAAGCACGCCGGCATGGCTAAACGCAAGGCTCCCGATGACCCTATAGTAGCGCCACGGAAAAGTCGCCGGGCCACTCACGGACTACGCGACATCGAACTAGACCATTCAGACTCAGATTTATCAGACTCGAATGACGATTCCTGGTACTACTCGGAAGACGGAAAGATCTCGCAGGGTTACTGGCAGTTTGTCGCAAAACATGGCGGTAATCATATGAAGAATTTTCTACCTGATGATGATAAATGCGACCGTTGTTTCCGAAACGGAAGAAGATGCGACTCTGCCGAGAAAGGAATACCCTGTTCAATCTGCAAGAAAGAAAATCAAGCTTGCAGACCACAGTCAAGGGAAACGAAACGCCTGATACTTCCTGAGAACCGCCACAAGCGCAAAGAAATTGGAAGAGTACAACAAGACCAGCCATGCAGAAGATGCTTCCAGACAAACCGCACGTGTTTTCTTCTTGACTCAAGTAATCCAAAATGTGAAGGATGTCAAAAATCAAAATTGAATTGCAACTGGAACCTGGATGGAGCAAAACAGTCAACAGCACGACAGAGGAGAAGACAAGCTGAAAAAGAAGCTAAGCATAGAATCCTCGGATTTGTACCAGTTCCTCGAGATCAGAAATGCTACCGGTGCGCAAGAAAAATAATGACATGCGATGGAAAGGTTCCATGCAATAAGTGCAGCACCCTTCTCCAGCGCTTAGCGTGTCGGCCACAGGGCGTAGAGGATTCACCTCCTTGTGACCAGTGCAGCCATGGAAGTAGGAGTGGAAAGAAATGTGACCGCGGACGACCTTGCAAGGCATGCATCCATGGAAAGTCGACATGCAGCTACAAAGCTCAGCATGGCTTGCTAACTAGAGTCTATCGCGCTCCTGATTCCTCACTTCCAACAGGTTTCTCCTCAGTGGGACCTCTTGAGGAAGGAGATCCGTCTGATGATGAATGTGTACGCTGTCGAAGAATGAAATTAAATTGCGACGGGGAAAAACCCTGTTATCCATGCATCAAGTCGCAGGATAATAAACACGTCGCGAACTGCAATTATCGGCGATCTGATGGAACGTACGAATCCTGGGCGATCCGGCCATTCGAGATGAAAGGTCTGGCCGAGCCGAATCTTCGGGAAAATTACCAAACCTACGCTGGTCGGAGGAAGCTTCAAGTTTCTCACGAGCCGGGATCAGTGAGAGAGACGATCGAATCCAACTCACATGATACTAAGAATTACAATCGACGCGGGGCGGCCATGGATAGCGACAAAACTTTCAAATTTGGCCTATCTGTATACTCTGAACAAGCTACACCACCTCTGCAGCTGAAGTTCGATGGTACTGGGAGTTCAAAGTACCACCAGGCTAAGATGGAAGAATTGAATTCGCACAAACAAAAAGGTACATGGAAGGTCGTACCACTTCGGCATGGCATCAAACCGGTTACCTCACGGTGGGTCACGACGGACAAGTATGGACCAGACGGCGAAGTCACCAGGCGGAAAGCTCGTCTAGTGGCAAGAGGTTTTCAACAAGAAGAGGGCATTGACTATGAGGAAACGTTTGCTTCTGTAGTCAAATCTACCTCCACCCGCATCTTGCTCGCGCTGGCGGCACTTTGCCGTTGGCACATTCACCAGGGAGATGTCAAAACGGCGTTCCTAAACAGCGACTTAGACAAACCCGTCTACATGAAAGCTCCGAGAGATGTGCAGTTACCTCGTGGATGCTGTTTACTGCTACTGAAGGCCCTTTATGGCCTGAAGCAGTCACCTCGAGCGTGGTATCAGAAACTCCGAGATACTCTTGTCCGCTGGGGTTGGCGGATGTCTGCCTATGACCCATGTGTTTTCATCAATGACGGAAAAGGGCTCATCCTCGAAGTTCACGTGGATGACATAAACGTGATGGGTAGAAGCCTACAGGCAATCCTTGACTTCAAGGGTCAATTTTCAAAGGAATTCCCAATAACCGACCAGGGGGAGTGCTCCTGGTATTTAGGAATGCACATAGAGCAAAAGCCTGGAGAGATTCATCTCCATCAAAAACAATATATCGACCAAATGGTCGACAAATATGGCTTCAAAGATGCAGCCCCTGCCAAGACTCCCCTGGACGCAAAAGTCAAGCTAGCAAAACAGGGCAACTACGTCGCCAACACCAAATTCCGCAAAGAATATCAGTCGAAGGTCGGATCGCTCAACTTTAGCAGCAATCAGACAAGACCGGACATTGCCTTTGCGACCGGGTATGTAGCTCGATACGCATCCAACCCAAACCGGGCCCACATGGATGCCGTGGATCGCATTTTTGCATATCTGAAGAGCGACGCGAGGAAAGGAATTGTCTATTCAGACAAACATGGTCTTCAGCTGACGGGCTTTGTCGACAGCGACTTTGCCGGATGTGAGGACTCGCGCAAGTCAACAACTGGATGGGTGTTCACGCTTGCCGGAGGGCCCATATCGTGGTCATCCCAGAGACAAAAAACAGTTGCTACATCAACCATGGACGCGGAGTATGTTGCATGCGCCGAGGCTGCGAAGGAAGCTATGTGGATTCGCAACTTTATTAATGACCTCCGCATCCCCGGAGTCCATATCGATACGGTTCCCCTTTATATCGACAATAACGCAGCCTTGAAGCTCACCAGGAATCCAGAGTTTCACAGCAGGTCCAAACACATTGACGTCAAGCATAACTTCATCCGGGAAAAGGTGGAGGAAGGACTTATCAATACCCAGCGCGTCAATACAAAGGACAACTTGGCAGATGTTTTCACCAAAGCTTTACCAAGGTCTTCACACGAAGACCTTGTCGAGCGTCTGAATCTCCATTCAAGGGGAGGTGTTGAGTCTGCAATTTCGTTCCAAAAAGGATCAGAAAATACCAGATCAAATTCAGGGATCCTTGAGGTGCCTCGGCCCCTTTGGGTCCCTGGCACAGGGGGAGAATTGGATCCCATGTCACGTGATGTATATAGATCTGTAGGAGTGGCTGCCTGTTAGGCAGGCACTACTGCTAGGCAGCAGGGAGATGAGCTGCTGCAACTATAAATAGCTGCATCCTTTCATAGGAATCAATATTATCACACTTGTGCCTCGATCCAGGGTTTCAACTCGCGAGGGGTCGGGGTAAATGAAATCATCCATCCATCCATCCGACTGTAAATTGTGTGTGTGTGTGTAAAGGAATGCCTGAGAACGACTGTTCTGCTGGCGAGGCATCGGATATTTATAGTATTGAAGCCTGTCATTCTGCTTACGTCGACGCAATGATCGCTTTGAATTCTGAGGGCACAAACACAGACGACCCTTCAATGCAGCTGGTTCAACATTTCATCACTCACCTAATACAGCACTCGGAGGCATTGTATTTTTTCCTGATGGTCCAGCAAAAGAACTGTTTTTCTCACTGTTGGTATCGGTTAAACAGTCGTGAGAATTCCGCAGAAAAGCACCAATGACGCGTATCAGCATTCACCACCATGTGTCCGTACATTACTGCGATGGGTGGGGCGACAACATTTACTAACCGATGATGAGTGCATTATTTTACTCGAAGATTGCCCCATAAAGAATAAACAACCGTCAAGCGATGCTTCACCCCTGGCTACCTACTAGCCCAAACGCATAATATTTTATGTTTAAGCAGGTTCTGTACAAACTATGGTGCAGCTTGGGACTGATTCGCACGGCCCACATCTCACCAAAGAGTTCCTTGAATAGTGAGTGAGATACTAGATCGATCACGTTTTCGTAGAACAATTGTCTCTGCTATCGGCCTCGACTTTGCGTTTGGCAGTACCCATATTAATCTCCTGGGAACTAAGTGGACACGGGAAGGTGCGTAATACTACCAGGAAATATGGGACAATTAATGCCACGAATGGCCCACATGCTCACAGGCCTTGAGTGGGATGATTGGTAGGGCTCCCAGGAGCGTGATTGATGCGATCATTGGATACTACTAAAAGAATGATATCTACGAAGTAATAATGAGCGAATCGGTGCCATGAAAGGTCCACATGCGTCACAAAGCCCCAGTAGAAATGATTGACCCAAATTCGGGTATGAGCTCCTAGGAGCCTGGGGCTACCATTCTACCTGCCATCATTGGATAGCGCTGATACGATGATGTCCATACCGTACCCATGTCTCCACTCTTATGTATCTGTCGAGACTGCCAAAAGACTTCAGCACCTGAAGCGCGGGCGCTCAGCTCCGTAGCGGCTGACATCAATTGGCTCCTGAGACCGAAGACATACGAGCAGCTCCAAAATCGGGAGGTCCAAGTAAGGAGAACATTGAGCCCAAATGAGCCTATCTATACGGACTATTGGGAATGGTTACTACGCTTAAAAGTCTGAAAATCCCGGGTCAGACTGAGAAATATCTATCAAGCTGTCATCGACGAACGCCTTCGTGATCTACGAAAGCAGCACCGAGAAGAGGCGGAGTCTGTTCGGGGAAAGCTAGCTCCCCTTGCACCAACTGTCATCCAGGGCGAGAGTCACCAAGACTCTGCCTGATCGGCCGAGTTCGAAGGCTTGGATCTGGACCCATTGCTACAGGTGCGTGCGGAAGATAAAGGATTAGACATCATGAACGAATCTAGCATTCTCCGCCAAATGGTAGGCCCTCAAAAGCTGCTTCATACTATACTATTCCTACTGAAATATTTTTTAGTTTATAGGCCAAAGAACTCCAAAGAACGCCAAAGGATCATGCTCATGGGGTTTGTTCCTCTGTGACAGCGACAATCCGAGAAAACTGCTACAGCCTTTGCCAATCCTGCTTCTAGCTCCACCCTTACTCCTGCTACTAGGAGTAGAATCTCATCTCTATCCAACGATCATTTCTCGCAAGCGAGCAAGGCCTTGTATGAAAAGGAATTGGCCAAGGGCATCAGCGAGAACGAAGAGATCTTTACTAGCGAAGAGTCTGTTCGAAATGGTACTCAGCCCCAATAGACTGACAAACACAGTCCCCGTAAACCGCGATATTTTAACAGAGTTCAAATGGGTTATGAGTGAAATAAATACAGCCAGACACATTACGATCATAATAATCTACCCCCAAAGGTTGTACAGGGGTATAAATTCAACATCTTCTATTCCGATCTTATCAACAAAGCCAAAGCTCCAAAATATCACATTTAGCGAGAGAACAGTCATAAGCGTAGAGAGGCCTTTGTAGGAGCCGGAGAGGAAGACACCTATCTTATTCAGTTTATAATAGGGGCTCCATACGAAGATATTGCCTTTAGCATGGTTGATAAGAATAGGATTATAGCGTGAAGCGCGAACGGGGATTCAAGAGCACATTTGACAAGGTAAAAAAGCTCATACTCCTCCGACCGCTCTTTAAACAGAGAATACTTACGTCTTCTGTACGACAGGGAATTCCTCAGCTTCATTTCCCGTTCAAAAAAGGTAAGCAACTTCGATGACCACAAAACACGACAAGAACAATACTGATTAGTTTCTTCACAGATCTATTACCAAAAGTAACACACGTCACTAATACATAGGCGTTTCATCGGAATGGAGATGGATATGTGTGGTATGTGGAGTACATGCAGTAGGGTAAAACGGGTTATATCTTCCAGAGAGTAGATACCCTATTGAATCAAACCTCTCTCAATTGATTGGGCTGGAAATATTTCCCTCTTCATTTCTTGCTCCCGCATTCAATAAGCCCAAACTCTAAACATCTTCCACGTGTGGAGTCTATATCTGAATCTTAATCTGACCACCAAGAAGCTTCTCCTCAAACTCCTTTATTAATGGCCACCTTTCATCCTTAGCCCCATTCCCCATTTTGACCACATAGGATGCGAACCAGCATCCTGGATGGGAGGGGGCTTAGTGGCTACCTCCGCTAGAAGTCACGGCACCTCAGCTTTCCTTTCCTGCAGCCTGCAGAAACATTGGCTACTTCCGGGACGCGGAGACATTAAAAGTCTAGTGTCGTGGTGACACTATGCCGGCCTGCAATAAGTAGAGCGTGCAGCAATTCAAGACTTCCGGCTGGCTGGAAGCAGTCGACCAGAAAGAAACGCCCGGCACGGCCAGGCAGGACAGGAATCTAGAGAGTAGAGCTTTCAGGCTAATGCATGATGGGTTGGCGAGAGATCTGCATGTGTCCGCTACCCAAAAATCATTCCCCTAGTGTGATTTTCTCTGCACAACTCTTTCTAGCACGAGGTCGAGCCCGCCTTAGGTTGCCTGTGAGATCATTTGGCTAATATATGTGCTATGAAGTGTTACTGCACCAGTTAGAGACTTGAGCACTTTTCACAGGATGGGAACCCCCCTAACATGACGATGTATAGTTGTGTGTTGCTGTGAGTCCCGTCCACTCCCACTCCCACCCCACCTTTCGCCTCTTGTCGCCCTCTTTACCTACTAGTACAGCCTCGACCCACATATCTATGTTTGATTGGGTACATTGCAGGATCCTAAGGCTGTTTGCAGCTGCTGAAGCATGTACTAAGTTAAGTGAGCTGGCGGGGAAAATAATAATTTTCAATTTATTGTTCTTATTTATAAATTTTATTTTTCATGGAGCAAGAAGACGAAGAAACAAAAAAAGTACAGCTCACATTTTTTCTGGAGTCTTGAATGCCAATGCCAAGCCATAACGGTCACCCTGGCTACTTCTACGTCGGCCTTGCCTCTATCTCCCACTGAGACTTTCATCTTCTCCATCTTGTTCCTCTTTTGAACTAGGTCCATGTCTAAGATTCTCCTCGCGCTCGATCAGAAGTTCTCTACGCAAGCGGGATATTTTGAGAGGAATCCATGCAGGATGGAAAATTATTTACTATACTCCAGAGAGCTGGGTCAGATGGGAACTGACCAGCAGGAGCACGAGCAATACCACCCTTCAGTACAAACAAGGCCTCAATCTTCCGATACTAGGGCCCTTATCAAGATAAATTACCCCCAGTCTCACCCCTGGTCCCAGGGCGAGAATGAGAGCTGGGCGGTATGCTCACAACCGCTAGGATCCGTGATACCTTATTCGTACTCTTATTATAGCCCTAGGTGGGATGGCTCGGTGTTGGATACTGAGGAGCCGACTCCGTTGGAAGTATCTCGGCTTTCGGTGGCAGATCAGCCATACTACACTTCCCCTCTGCGTTCATTTTCTCCAAAGGTCAGTAAGAATGCCGCCTTTCTACTTCGACTACCTAGTGCACAGGCTCATCCATCACACACAGAGAAGCTTTAATCAGGAAAACTGCACAGACTGGAATAAAGAATCTGTCCTTACTCTAGCTTCATTCTGCGTTCAAGATGATTTTTATCCTAGAGATCTAGATGTTTCTGAGGAGATAGCCCAACCAGTGAAAATTTGTCCAACACCATCACGATCTGTTTCAAGGTCTCCCCATCGTTCGCCATCACAATCTCTCGATAGTGTCAGCCTCCCCACCAACAATGTCGTTGGTGATGATAGCTCGCCGAGAATTATCTTCAGAGAAAATAGCGATGAAGATCCCATTACCGAGCCACCTTATTCCGCCCTGATCTATGACGCCTTAAAAGATGCTCCACAAGGAAAGTTGACCGTCCAAGGCATCTATGGATGGTTTCAACGCAATACCAACAAGGACAGAGATCCAACTTCAAGAGGTTGGCAGAACAGCGTCCGTCACAATCTGTCTATGAATGCAGTGTGTTTCTCCACTTCTTGACTCTTTCGTCTTGAGGGATTTCCTCGAGAAAATCAACATTCAATTTTGGAATGAGTGGAAGATCAATACTAATGTGGCTTTTTCAGGGGTTCGAGGCCATCAAGGGTGAAAGCAAAGACAATAAACCAGTCAATTTCTGGCACCTCACAGATGAAGCGTATGAACATGGTATCCAATCAACAACCCATTATCGCAAGGCGAACCATCGTAAGGGGAACCATCGCAAGGGGAGTAGCTCAGACATCACAACCCGCGAGCGTCGCCGCTCTGGTTCCAAGGGTGGGAAAGCAACGAAAAATGCGGCCAGGATGCGCAACAGCCCGCATTACGAGCATCCGACGTCACATACACCCCGCTCGCTGGGTCAGCCTCATCGGCAACTACTACGCCCCCCCTATTCGCGCTCCACAAGGCAGTGCTAGCATTTCGCCCTGCCAGATGAGTCTAGGGTCAACCCCTTCCGGACTTCCCAGCATAAACTCATCTCAAAACCACGCTCCCGATGAGATGATCAGCTGCGCAGCCCCTCCTCCTGGATACCATCCTGTATCTTATGGTACTGGAGGATTGGAATCTTCGGCCTTGGGCATGGGCCAAGTGGGCTATTATGGACCAGTCTATACCCACCATGGACTTAGTGCTAGCCACGATACTACAACTGATCTCCAATTTGTGTGGGGATGAGAGGGAGGCAGGCGCATAGAACGGGCTGATGAACGGCTTACTGTGCATGGCATTTCCTCTTTGTGGTATTTTTCCTCCTTGTTGGGTTCCATTGGTCTTCCCTCCTTGTCTTTTCTATCTACATTGTCCAATTGTCTACGAGTTATGAATATCTTTGGTCAGGTTCTATCTGGTCGTTTAATAAACTAGAGAGGCACGGTGGATTGCCTTTTTTGTCTGAGCGGGCTTCCTTCTGGTGTCAAAAAAGAGTGGCCATCATATTGCGAGCTATTCGCTTTCTGTGTCTGGATTTTGATGACTTTGCTTTTTTCATTCTGTGACTTGGGGTGCTGGCTTCTACTTCACTTGCATTAGTGGTTATCAATTTTGCTCTTTCCATGTTTGGCTAGTCAAGTGCATTAATTATCATATCAAAAGTAGTAGGTAATATCCATACAACGCAGTAGATCTACCTCCCCACAATTCATCTACCCAATAAGCTTTAGATCTATGTATGGTACATCCCACACGTTGCCCACGGCTGTAATTTCCATATTCCTTGGAGTGCTTACGATTGGGCAGCATCGTTCACATATTCGACATCTTCCATCAGATACATGTACTTGCAGATCACCTATTCTCTTGGGTCGGGAAGATTGCCGATGGAAAATCCAAATTAGACGTGATTGCCGGCTTCTCTTGCCACCGCACTACACACACTATACGATTGCATGGATCCGCTGTACATGCAAGGCCAAGTGGTCTCGCAGCCAAGAATACTCATCAACCAGAGTGTGGGAAAGAGAATCCCGAACTGTCCACCTCTCCCTCGCGACTTCATCCAGTAAGACCTAGTGACTTCCTTGCTCTGCCCTCTTTCACATTGTGCGTTAGGCCCGGCTATGTACCCTAACTTATCCGCCGGGCAAGGGTTTTAATCCCCTCGTGTCAGTCTATTGACAGGCCACAGTACTCCGTACATTCTGGTACATACATTCACTCCGGTGTGACGCGGAAAATCTTGGCGCTGCAGAATCTGGCAACTAGACTAAGATGCACTTGAGTCATGTACCTACCAATCAGAACTTGGCCCCACTCTCGATGCACACTAGTTTCGTTCGAACCCTCCCCACTCCCGGCTAGCCCGTCTTTTCCTTCTTCTCATATTTGGTATGTGGATCTAAATATGTGCCGTATGTTCTTCGGTTCGAAATTTCGGTCTGTGCTACCTCCGCAGAATCGTGCAGATGGCGTTTCTGTATTGTGTACGCTATTGAAACTACAATGAACAGCTGTAGCCTGTAGTGTCGTTCACAAAACACTTGGACGCGGCGATTCGCATTTAAGTAGCGCGGGCCGTGCCATCCAAGCCCCTTTGGGGAACCTATCGGGGAGGAAGATAACGTCATTTGTCGCTTCCCATTAATTTACCCAAACCGCATAATACCCTGGTATGCGTGCCTACGATGGCACCAAAGGTACCTTCCCCCTCCTACTACACATGTACAACCAAGTTTCCCTATTGAAGACGAGATATGATATCAAACTTGTAGCCTTTTTTTATTAAATGACCCCATGAGCAGGCTTCTCACGTCGAGGGATCTTCAGCTCAATGCCCTCAGCTATTGTCCATCTTGCCAAGTGTTATTTCTGGCTTGAACGGGATCATACACTCGTATCCTAGTGGCCGGAAGAGCATTCCGAGCGGGGCCTTCGTGTATGTCTGTTCCCTGGTGGAGTCTAGATGATACAGCTAGTAACGGTATTAGCCTGTTCTCTGGATCCCTTGTATGAATCTGTGTTGGACATAACAAGCCCCGGGGCAGTTACAGTACAGTAAACCGATGTCATGCGGAACCCAAGACAGATCGCAAGTCCACCTCCATACATACCCAGTTTCTGGAGCACTGCTGTACCAAGATTGATCGGCGCTGAATTCTGCTGCGGTTTTTTTTTTTTTGGCGGATTGCGGGCGCCGTGGCGAGAGCAAACGCCTGCGCAAGTGGCCCAAGAAGTGGTCAGCGAGCAGAAAAAGAAAAACTGACTTTCCATGATTCTTTTTCTTCCTGCTGAAATTGGCCAAAGGTATTATTTCTACGTGTTCGATTATGTTCCCCATTATTGACTTTTTTCGCTGGTATTTCTTCCATCACTTATATATCTTTTTGAATTGAAATTTTGTCCATTTTCTTGGATGCTTTTCCATCGGCGTTCTAGCTCGAGAGCCTGGTGATCTGAGAATCCATGACAGCCCAGCATCGATAGTTTTGCGGCCCGCAGCGCCAGGCGCCCACAACTGCACGTTCTGTGATCGGATCGCTGGCCGTTTTCTGATATATCAACTGCCGGGTCCCAGGAGAAAAAAGAAAGCAATGAACCATTCCTTATTTGGGGTTCCTCAATTGTTGATCCATCGAGGTAGACACCATCAAGAACAATCTCGTTCCTGTTGATGTATCGACGTACTTCAGCCGATCATGTCTATATACTTATTTGGACAATTCAGGGTGTATTCGGTGTCAATGAATTCCTCATCGGGAATATTGAGGCGAATAGAAGTTTTGGTCTTGAAGTCCGAAGCGTCATCGAAATGCCACCTCCACCTTCTGTTCATCATCGTACAAGTGGTGATATCATATCTACCCACCAGACCTTCGTTCAAGCTGGCAGTGCAAATACTTACTGCCGGATACCTGTAGGTTGACATGAGTCGTTTCAACAGCTGACAGGCGCATAATTTTTGGACGTCTAATTAGATGCTAAATAGGCACCAAGGCCAATTGTGGAGCAGTCCATAATAGGATATAGAGCAAAAGCTCAGCTCTGAGCGTTCCTCCCAATGGCCCAGTCTGGTTGGGAAAACCTTAATGGTCAGGTCCGTATGATCCCGCCATAGGCATGAAGGCTCAGGTGGGTGGGTAGTCAAGGGGCGAATGACAAAAGAGCAAATAAAAATGTAGCAGGAGAATCCGGAGCGAAAAAGACCCTCCGCTAGACTTCCGCAGAACCCAGTTTTGGACCCAATCTTGGCATTGCCAAGAACCCAGTAACCCAGTTTCGACCCAGTTTTATGCATAAATGTGTATAAACAATCCTAAATAGGAAGGTCTTGGCACTTTTTATGTATTTTATACAAAAAACTGGGTTATAAATTTTGGACGACTGGGTTTTGGGTCGGAATCTTCGACCCAGTACTGAGTTTTGCGGAAGTCTACCCTCAGCTGACCTATACCGACAATTCGCTTGAGAGATCGACAAATTTGGGCTTATTACTTGCCGACCGATGCAGGGTAGCGGCTTAATGTGATGGTTCATCGACTGCCACGTACTCCCTGTGGTGTAGGGAGACAGTATGCGGAGAGCAATCTCCCAGCCCATACATGCAGCTAGACTAATAAAAGTCTTACGCTTCCCGTTTCCAAGTACCCCTGGGTCCTCGATATGACTCGTTGGCAATAAGGCCGAAATTAGGGACCGAAAGGACAATGACTACCCCCGAGGCCCGCATCGGGTACGATTATACGTCATCTAATCAAAGGTACCTTGAGTGAAAACAGATACGAGGCTGGCATTGACAGGCATCTTTTGAGATATTGAGATCCTGTCAGTCTAATTACTGGTCTCTGTTGATCCCCACTCCCCCCTAGCAGACACCTGCGGCCACCCCAGGCCCGCGAAGCGATTAATCGCCAGACCGGCGAAATGCTCGAGCCAACTTTGGAGCTACTTTCGCACCTGACGGCATTCTTTCTAGAACCTTGAAATTTGGCCTGACCACCTGGGTTGCAACTTGAAGGCCGTGGAAAGTCCAATGCGATCCGAGTGTGCCCATGACAGCATCTCAAGCCGCCAGGTGCCTGTGACAAATACTTTCCAGCTCTACGATAGCCATCTCGGAGAGTAAGATCTAGAAACCTGGGAAAAAAGCGGCGTCAGGGGCAACAACGAGCCACGTGAGCCCGGTGGGCTGCAGTCTGCATACAGGTCCCTGCATGGATTTTTCAAGATGCAGATGCCATTGCTGTCCATAAAAGCCACAATCATCAACAATATCTCATTGGGCAAACCTCGAATGAGTGGCTATTTGTGCAAATTAGTGACGACGACCAGCAAATCAAGGAACAGTAAATGCACAAGCCATGATGAGAAAATCCCCGTGCCTAGGTGTTGACGAACGAAAGCTAATACTTCAGTGACTGCTTTCGTGATGGGAAGGCGGGTTTTATACTGTAATGATTTATTTCTAGTTTCAGAGGCGGGTAGTCTCAGAGACCAGATACGAAAGACCATCAAGGGATTTTTGCATCGTGGCGTGAAGCTTTTTGAGCTGGAATACCAGCCGGAGTAATTAAATGATAGGGAGTTCGCATGCAGCTGACGCAAGGAGTAGCCCTGAGCATATGATGCTAGTTAGCGCTGCCTTCTATGCACAACAAACTGTGCGGAATCAGCCATTTGGCCATCTGGCAGATAGGTAAGAAATGAGGAACAAACCTGAGACATAACGGCTGCCAGCTCCTGTTCGTCTGGGGAGGCCTTACAAGCGACAACATGATCCAGAACGAGAGGGTCAAACTCACCCAGCGTGTACATAATATCCTTTGTCCGGAAACACTCCCAAATGGAGGCCAGCTTCCTATGGTGTATGGAGCGGAGGATCTGCAAAACCCTGTCAGCGTCCTCAATCGGATACTGGCGTACCGCCCGGACGCCGCGGTCACCAGAGGATCGAACGCATACCGCGACAGGGCCAGCTAAATCACAATCGTAGTACTTCCTGAAAGTATCCCAGAGAAATTCATTTCTGGCTGTTAGGCCCGGACCGCTATCGCTCTCCCGCTGCTTAGTCTCCTGGTGAGGCGAGGTTTGTGGCATCAATCCAGTTTTCTTGCCAGTGTGTTCCGGAGTTGAGGAAGTGATGGACCTCTTTCCAGGTGCGGGTCTTAGATGGAGAGGTTGTGGGCCGGGCTTGAGGTCCGTTACCGGTGATACTTCTGTTCGGGTTTGCTGCTGGGGGAGCAATGCAACCTGATCGGCCTGGATTTTTGTCACTCTCTTTTCGCCAACTTTTCGCATCATGGAAGCAGGATAGAATTTGGCTAATATTTAGAAGTAGAAAGAGGAGCACGAAACATAAAGCGAAGCCTGCTTGGTTTAAATGGGCATTTGGGGCCCGCAGAACGCGACGCTGTTGGGTCACAGCCTCACAGACAAAGAAACGCAGTGCCAACGTTGAGCCACCACAACAAGGGAGTTCAGATATAATTATAAAGGCATTCACGCCCGATAAAACCAAACCAATCCTGAGCCCCATCTTTATCCTGACACCATGGCTCGACACGTTTTTACCGAACAAGAAATGCGGCTCGCAGCAGAACGACGAATGAAATACATTGGTGCAGCTAAAGTCAGCATCTGCCAGATTCAATTCGAACCTCCCTTACCACGGGAACTGGACCCTAAGAACTTGGACCGGCTACGAAATATCTTCCGGAAGAATCGTTGTCGCCGCCTAGATGTCCAAAACCATGTTCCAGCGACCGTGTCCCGACATAATCTCGCAGACGCATTGCAGAAGGCGAATGTTCCACAGGAAGCCTTGCTGACAACCGAAGGCCGGCAAATTCCTCGACTGGAATTTATGGCGGGGCAACTTCGGGGTCTCCATGGCCGTCATCGTGTACAAGCGGGTGTTGAGGTACTTCCTCCGGCGGATCGCTGGTGGACGGTTGATCTCTACACAGACGGTACGTGATATACCCGGGCGCTCCTATAGATTGATACTGACTGTTCCAAAAGACATCGACCGAGAATTGAGAGCGGCGTTGGTGGATGAATATTCCAATCAGAAGAAGCCGACCGATGGGGAAGTCTATCGCAAGATCAGACAGTATGAGGGCGAGGGCAATGAAGCTTTTCGCGAGCGATGGTTCGTGAGACTATCGCCCAACAATCAAGAGCGCTTGGATCAACTTGACAATAAGAAGAATCGTCGTCTCCGACATGCATTTGACCGACTGCTAACGATTCCTGGACTTTGGCCTAGCGGAATGAGAATCAGCCTGCTTCATCGATTGATCGCTTCAGGCTGCATTGAGGTGAGTTTCAGCTCAGGTTACTGCTTTTTTTCTAGCTAATGAGGACTCTTCGTCTCTCAGGAGATAGCAACCTATTTGGACCACATTTTGAACTTCTGGTCCTCTCTGGTCGGATCACATCGCCGTCTGATGAAGAAAATCGATCAGGATACGGTTCACGCCCTGCAGTTACTGGCACCGGGTAAATCACGCACTGATGAAAAGACGGCGTGCGGGCTGGTTCTCAGTGGCCATGTGTTTGCCGAGTTCAGTGCTGATGAGCGAAACGCGATATGGGCCAAGATGAAAGACTTTGATGGTCTCATCCCGTCCCTATACACTTTCTTTGAGGATTTCAAGTACCTGGAGAGTTGTGCTCACTGTCTGAAGCGGCTCTTGGGTCCATCACCCCGATCTGTGAGGGAAGCCATGAGTTCGATCTTTGATCCAGACTCGGAGTCTGGGGAAAATCACCGAGAGAAAGGGAAGTGTATCATTCAGACCTCGGAGTCTACCTTCCGACGCCTTTATGCGTCCGAGACAGAATGCTTCGAGACAGGATACCAGCAATTATGGCTGTATGCTATGCGACATTATCCACTGATGCCCCCGGACCCCAAGAACTCTGATGATCTGTTGGCCAAACCGACTTGCGCTAAGCCGGACCCGCGCGCGATCTTCGACATGGCCCATCTAGCTCACCGGCTCGGCTTTAGGTCCCCAGAAATTGATGGGCTGCTGAACAGTTCTCCGGATCACCAGATTGCACGATCGGCCCTTCTCCAGGCCCGAAAGCCAAGCCGGTTTAGATACGATGACCAACACTTTGATAGTCTGGTGCGACGAATTGTAGATTGTTTTACTGAGGCTGTGCCTAATCAGCCCGGTCCCCCGCAAGATCTTTTGGCAGACAGCACCGTCAAGGCGCACGCTCGCTCTGGGGTTCCGCAGACCCGCACCCATATTCAAGATGCCCCTTTGTTATTCTTAGATCGACTGCATGCTGATGTTGATGCCGCCGATACAATCACTAGCTTTTTTGTCCGGCGTTGTCTCTTTTTCGCCTTTTGGGGGAAGTCGCCAACGGTTGATCCCATCAATAACAGAAGATGCGGCAATTTGAATACAGACCAAGGGTTTGAAGAGGGGATGGAATCGCCGTTGTTTGTTGAAAAGGAACATGCACCGGGCTTTGATACGTCTGCACGGCACAAGGGCGCATCAGGCAGGTCATCTGTTACCGGAAGAAGCAACGCTTCAACACGTCTGGTACTCTCCAGTGAGATCGACCATTCAGAAAATAGACCCGAGCCTATGGACTTAGATCCTCTCGAGCCAGCTCAAAATGAGGAAATCTTTGATCAGAGAAGTCCATCGGGTGGAGATCACTCTACTCCCCGATGGTCACTGAGCGATTCAGTGCTGGAAATGGTCCCTTCTCGCTGCTCGCCCGGGGCTGATCCAGAGCTTGGAGATTCTAAGAGTGAATGCACCCAGATCTCTCTGGAAACAGTCTCACTCGAATGGGACCAGGGCGAGCGAGCAACAGGAGAGGAACCCAGTCCAGACACTGGATCTGCCCTCGGAATTACTGCACAGACACCTATCGATTCTGCAGCACAGCGACGATCTTCGTCAGAAACGATAATATTGTCAGAAGAACGCCGTCCCTCCAGGTCTGAAGAGCTAGAGGCTTTCCTCAATGGCTTGAGGAGGGCCCAAGTGGAGCAGGAAGAATTGGAAAAAAGGATGGAGAGCGGCCGGCTCAATGAAGAGCTCAATCTGCTCTATCATAATCAAGCTTCACCTAGAGATTTGCTTCAATCAGGTCAAACTCAGACTTTGTCACTATCGATCTCTGCTGACGAGCAATCGGAAGCAATGTACAAAGAGACCAGGCACATCGCAACAAAACCTGTCGACCCCAATTGTCAAACGTCTACACAACCGCTTATCGAGATCAAGTTCTGGTCACTCGAGCGAGGTCAGTGGAACCAATCAGACTGTCTCCTCGTAGACCGGTTGGATCCCTCACCCATGGAGCGGCTCGCACGAAAGTACTCCTGCAAAGGATTTACACTCTACGATGTGAACCTCAAGAGCCTTCGTCCGGCCCATTGCTACCGCGCAGCAACAGCGGATGATACCAAAGCGATCTTCTTGATTTCCGCCCACGAAGAGAAAGCAATTGCGGCTACAGAAGGATTAGGGAAGGAGGAAAAGCTGATTTCAATGGCTGCTCGCGTTGTGGGACGTGCACGATATTGATGAACCAATTTGCCCGGCGGTGCGCGGTACCATCGGGATCTTCATGTGAATCTTTGGCTCCTAAGAGTTTCTTCTTGGGGAGCAGATGAGCACAAGAAATCTCTTCTGAGAGGGCCATGTTTCTAGGCCAAGTCTCCTAGAAGGCCCTTGTTCTTGTGAAGCGCTGCCAACTAAGAGAACATCGACTAAGCATACAAATCTACTTGTATCTCGTAATGCGGACAAGTTTGTAGAGAGGACCGCCTCTGGAATATATTGTTCTATTCCAACCATTGCTACAATGAAGACGCGTGAGATGTTTTTGGCCCGTACGGGGCACCTGCAGTCCGAACATGGTGATGTAGGTCTCCTTGACAGAAGACTACAGCGCCGCGAGGGCTGCAGGCGGGCCCAAATGACCCGATGGGCCAAATAAGGATGGTGGAGGGGCTGGTGGTGAGGAAGAGGAGACCGGAGTTGGATGACCGGTCTGGAATTGACGGTTCCAGGTGTACAGTGTTGTTGGGGGCGTCGTGAAGTAAAGACGGAAAGCTTCGGAAGACCATCTTCCGAGGGCTTGAATGTGGTCACTTCTCAGGCCCGAATCGTGGGCGTGTTGGGCTGCCCCTTTTCTGAAACTATGGCCTTTTAGTCCTGTGGTATCTTCCCCAGAGCGTTTGAGCTTGGAGATAACGGCGCGTTGAAAGGCGGCTGAGGTGAATGGCCCGGAGGAGAGCGTAAACAAAGGAGCAGTTGAAGGTTGTGAATCATGAAGGAATAGCTTAGAAAGTCCCTCAACGGGGCAGGCCGCGTCGTTTGTCGCTGCAAGGACAATATTAACACCTTCGTGGTTTCGGTCGGTCTTGCTTCTCTTTAAAGTGAGGAGGACGTGGTCCATGGTAGGGGAGAATCTGATATCCCCCCGGGTTAACTTAGTAGCAACAAAGATTTGCGTATTCCTATGCTCAGCAGCTGAGTATGTAAATTCCCCGACCCGAAGAAACCCGGCGAAGGCAACCCGGGCAGCCACGGCAAGATTGAGATCGTCTCTCTGGGGGGTGAGAGCCTCAGTGGCTGGGCAGGTAGATGTGAAATATTCCCTGATAGGGTTATAATTGAGGTGCGTGGGATTGGATTGCGAACCCGCTTTTGGCGCGGGGGTTGCAGCCGGCGAGCACCATCGACCATACGACGAAAATGCTTGGCGTGGAGGTCAAAAATTGCATCGGAAAGACCGTTGTCGACGTGGTACGCGCGGAGCGCTGAGAGCTCAGACATAGCTGTATCGGGCTTCACTGGTGGGCTCCCACCTGCGCCCAGCAGTCGTTCCGTGAGCCAAGTGTAGATCGCTGGTGCTGTTGCTGGCCATGGCTGTAATCCATTGAGGGCGCAGCTACGGGTGTATGAGCGCTGTGCGGAGCGGTACCCTTTTCTTGTTCCCTCTGCAAGACCATTCCAGACCAGCTTAGCATGACCAGCACTCACGAAAATAGGCTGGCTGGAGAACCAGGCTGGCGGAGCAAGGGAAAGGAGCTCGTCCACTGTGGGCAAATGTCAGCGATGGAACCATAGTCGGAACGGGATAATGCGTCAGCTAGCAGGTTTTCTGATGAAGGTAGCCAGTGTGGCTGGATTTCTATGTCAAGGGCGGCTGCTATACTGAAAAGCATGAGCAGTTGGCGATGGGCCGGCCCGCGGAGTGCCTGCTTAGACAGGCCATGGAACGCGACGGCACTGTCCGTAAAAGCGAGGACACGATGATGAGCCCAATGGAGGCTGTGTAGAAGGAAGGCCTGCAGAATTGCGGTAACCTCCTTGGTGTTGATGTGGGCCTCGCTAGCGCAGACGGAGGAGGCGTCCACAATAGCGGCGTGAGTGGAAGGCAGGTAAGGTGCTGCAGACAACCAGTCTCCGGCGGAGTCCCGTGAGGGCGCAAAAAAGAAGAAGAGGCCCAGACCGGAGTCACACGCGTCTGTGTAGAGGGCAACTAGGGGGGCGGCTCTTCTTAAAGAAATGGATTCCGTTGAAAAACGGGATTGTGTCCGTCCACCACGCGAGGTCCTCGCGGCTATCATGGGATAGGCGGCGGAGAGAGCGCTGGTGAGGTGGGAAAGATGCGAGGTCGCTGTAGAGCGACTGGAGGCGGGGTCTGCCAAGACGAATGACCATTGAGCAGTGTTGGAGGAAACCGATCACACGTTGCAAGGCTTTATGCGAAACACGATTTTGCTGTAATAGCGACGCGGCCTCGGAAGATGCGCGTGTTAGCTTATCGCGAGGCATGCGGGCCTGTAGAAGTGTTGTGTCGATTTCGATCCCAAGCACATTGACCACGGTACCCGCGGCGTCTTTGGTGTTATTCCTTGGGATGCCTAGTGCATCTGTAAGAGGAATGTAAACGGTATTGAACTCGACGATAGCCTGAGAGATATCTCCTACAGAAGGAGGAAAAACAGTGATAAAATCGTCAAGGTAATGGACGATAGAGGCCCCAGGTAAGTAGGCAGTCAGAAGCCAGTTGAGACCCTCAGCAAAGAGATTAAAGATGAAGGGTGCAGTTGCAAGACCAAATGGAAGGCAACATTCCATGTATGTCTTGCTATCCCACGAAAAGGCTAGGAGAGGCCGGTCGGCCGGTGCGACGGGGATATTGCGGAAAGCATCTTTGATGTCGCGTTTGATGATAAAGCATCCTCGTCCAGAGGTGCAGGTGAGTTCGAAAATGTGATCTATGGAGATGTATTGTATGGCAGAGGCGATAGCCGGGATAGACTCGTTGACACTGCACCCTGGCGGGTAGGAAAGGTCATGGATACGGCGCCAGCTTCCGTCTTGTTTAGGTACGAGCCCTAGTGGGGACACAACAGCGGGACCAGTGCAAACTTGCACTCGACGATTTGACAGGTCATCGGAGAGCTTTTGGGTGATAATAGAGGGTTCCTCAATATGGTGATTAGATGTTCGGCGGTCTGTCGGCTGGCCCGTACAACCAAGGCGGCAGCCGAATGTGAGAATACCGCTACAAATAGTCCCTAGATCGCCAGGATATCGTTCAAGGAGAGTTTCCCACACTGAACTGATAAAAGGGGAAGCAGAATCACGCAGGGGCGGGAGAGAAGAGTCAAAGATCTCAAACTGGATAGAGGTGTTGGGACGCGGGGCTGGCCAGCTGGTTGGCGGTGATAGCGTTTGAAATATATCAAGGCAGACCGCGGCGTGGTCCTAACTCGCTGGTTTCACTTTGCAGCTTATCATAGAGTGTTCGTTGCCACACTTAGAGCAGACGTGCCTACGGTGACATGTTCGCCAGTGACAGCCAGCAAAAGAGTTGAACTTTTCACAGATGACAGAATCGTTGTTTGAGGCGGCGGTTGAGCGCGTTGACCGTGTGGTTGGGGTAGTCGGCGCTGTCTTTGCTGGGAGCACGTTATCCGGGCGTAGGTAGGAGCTTTCGAGAGCTTTCCCAATTTCCCAGTCGCCAAGAGAAACGGCAAGGTCGCCTTTATCGACGACCATCTGATGGTGGTCTAAGGCCATTTGCAGGATACACTCCTGCCACTTATATGCCCTGGCAAGGTCACAAATACGGCGGTGGAAAAGGACCATTCCACTGATGCATAGTGAGTGCTTGGCAGCGAAGAAATCACACCAGATGGCGATATAACTGCTAAAGCAGTGGGCCCACAGGGATGCGTCATTGCCCCAGTCCTTGATTGAAACCACCTTGCGGAATTGCAGGCCAGACGATGTGGACTTCAAGTCGAAGGACTCGCCATCCGGTGCCGAGGCTTTGAATTCGGGGCTGCGAAGTTTTATGAGGTCCTTCTTTGGGCGGAAGGTGTGTTCAAAAACGGCTATAATGGCAGCACGGTCGAGACCGGGGAAGCGGGGGAGGACTGGCAAAACAAGAGATGGGACCCTACCGTCGTCGGCTTCCTCTTCTGTGGTAAGATCTATGCGTGGTCGTTTGCGCTGTCCATCGCCCGCGACAAGGGAAGCAGACACAGTGGACATGAATGAGTCACGTTGGGTATTAGAGAGGGAATTCCATATATACTCCGGTGGGTAGAACGAGGAGCCCAGGGTGGTCTGTCCCCCAGGGGTAGGACTGGGGGCCTCAGAACTACGTCGCACCATCGTAAAAGAAACTCTTGAAGAGGAAGAAAAACCGTTGCGAAGAGAGCCCAACTCTCCCTCGAAAAGGCGATGTGCCTTTCGAAGGAGGGGATATAGGAGCGATATCTGTGTGCGATTATAAGCACGGAATATCGTGAATCCGACGCAAGGGGGGAGGGGCTCTCCGCAATAATACCGAATAGAACATATCATTTACACTGTAGTGCATACTTGGTACCAACCTATTCTTTTTGTTGACATCCACCAGCTCTACGGAGTTCTTCTTAAGGATAGCCGTCATTCCTGCTTCGGAAACGCCGCAGTCAGATGCAGCGACGGTTTGAGGGCAAGTCACAAGGAATGCTGTCGTCTCATCATCCTAGAATATAGTAAAAAGGTTAATCACGAGTCTTAAATTCCAATATTTTGGCATTTCCTCACATACGGTTGATAATATGCTCGCCTCCAATTCACGCTCTTGAAATCCTGGCAGTAAGAGGCTGACTGTTTGTCCGAGAGTTGCTGTAGCTGCACCAAAAAAGAAAATGCAGTAAGTGAGTAGCATAGTCACTCAGAGTTTGGCCGTCTCAAGCTTCAGAGGATGACTGTTTCAAGTTCGGACATTCAATCTCTCAAATCAGAGGCTTGGGATACTGCCGATAGCTGGGATGATGGAATATTGTATTATGACTGGAACATCTTGATCTTTTCAGCAGGAGCCCCGCTAAATCTTAAAGACTTCTCTTGATAGACGAGAAAGCCAGGATTCATCAGTACGGCATTGTGGGAAACGTTTGTGCTTACCTGGAAAGATCCTGTTGAGTGACCTCAAACGACCGGTAATTAAAAGCTGTTATAACTGGTAGAACCGCTTTTGGGGTCTGAGAGTCCTTTCTTTTCAGCGGCTCTTTGACAGGTTTCTTAGGATTCTCGGGGTTCAATCTGGCCACTTGGGCACCCCTTGAGCGGCCACAAAATTGCAATGGAGCGGTACGACCGTCGTCAAAGGGCGCATACATACAACTTCTACCGATGAGTGTCTCTTTAAGTTGATAGCCAACATTATTGTATCTATTTTATGGGAACGAGAAAAGCTTGCGGCCTGTTAGCTATTGGAAAGTAAATAGAATCCCATTTCATTCCACGACAGCTCATCACAAAAAGTCTTGACAGATACGTTCGGCATGAGTTCTTTGGCCAAGTCAAGATGTTGATGACTATGTAAAGCCTATCGGAAATAGAGTATGTTCAACAATTCCTGTAGCTTTGTTCGAAACGGAAACATAAGTAGTTTCGCGCGCGTCGCAAAATGCCTGGTTTAAAGAGCAAGACAGATCCCGGTTTGCTGAAGAGACCCCATCTTCAGAAGCGAAAGAGACATGCATCGCTTTCTTATTTTTTCCACACTCATCTCGGCGGTCTTTGGCGGAACACTTCAGATCATTGACCATAATGACCAGTGTCTCGTTTATTCTACGGAGAACTTCAACTGCACCGGGATCTCGGAGCCGTTTGCGCCTCTTGACGGCATCTCTTGCTCCCGTAAGCAATGCAATCTAATGACAAGGATCAATTCTTCTGACATTTTTAAGACCTGAACACAGATACCAAAGACCCACACTCCAATTCGTCGTCGTTGAAAGCCATGTTATGTGGCTCCAGTCAGAATTCCGCGTGGGTTGAGGTACATCAAAGCGGCTTGATCAACTTCCATAATGACAAAGGGGATGCGGCAAGTTGCAAGGTTGCGGAGCCTCTGGTTAAGGGAAGCTTGTGCACCGCCAGCAATAAAGCAAGGTCTTCGACGAAAGGCAATAAATCCCAACTGACTTCTTCGTCTACCACAACCACCCATGTGTCAGTGACAGCACCATCGGCGGCCCCGGTAACTTCCTCAGACTCGAGCAGCCATTCTAATATGACGGATTGCTGAACACAAATGTTTGCTTGGATGGTTAGCTTGTGCTGGGCTATTCTGCTTGTGTTTCATGAGACAAGTCTACTATTTGCCTATGGAGCCCAAGCCTAGCATGGGATGTTCTTCTTTTCTTGCACCTCGCTGCCCAAGTTTCCAATTTACGATTTACATGTTTGCAGCACAGAAAAGACATCGTTTTATGTCAAAACTTGATATAAGAATTGTGAATTTTTTTTTTTTCAAAAATTAACAGGAACGGTCAATCAAATAGATCTGGCAGGAGTTACCCGGCGTTCCAGAGGCACGGACGCGGTCCGGTATCTAATCTAATGCTCTAGTCTAGTATGTAGTATAATTGCAGGGAAATATATCAATAATTCAATCACCGGCACCGTAATGCATAGGAAGGGCAACCTCTCTTGGGGTTTCTGGTTCCAGAAACTGGCTCGAAAAACCGGTGGAGTGATATTTCAGCCAGTAAATGGTTTTATTCATATGTATCACATGCGTATTACTGTACATCAGAATCTGGCTATACATTGTGTATTTGCAACCGGCGCTGGGCGAGGAAACTCTATCTGACGGCAGACACATATTCATCTCACATCCTGGGGGAAATATTTCATACTTTAAGGCGACCGGGACCTCAGACGCAAGCCATGAAATGGAGAAGTGGTCTTGTAGGACAGAATAATCATCTTCTATACCTATTGTTTGAATCTTCGCAGTTATTCAGGAGCTGGCCAGCCGTCCAATGTCAATCGACCGCGAAACTCAGGACTGTAGGTAGAGCTCGTTTCGTCCAATGTTGCCACATAGCGATTGCGACCGCCCATTTTGGCATGTGTAAGATAATGAGCCTTCAGATTGTCCGAACGTTTGAAGCTACGATGGCATTCTGGCACCCAGCATGCGTACGGTCTTTCATTTGAGTGGCATGTCAGATGTCGCTCGAGGGCCTTTCGGCGCCTGAACTGGCGGTCGCAGCCCGGGTATGTGCATTCGAACCGCCGCTGGGGTATTTTGTGTGGCAATTTCTGGAAGCTCCAATCCGGAGGTACCTGAGAGGAAGAAAGGGCTGCGACGTTTGCAGGCCCCATAGAAACTGGGCTCGTTGCAGGCACTTCATTGCTGTCAAGTCGCATAGAACAGGAGTTGCAAGTAGGGGCCACCTTTGCCTCAGAGGTATGAGGCTTGGAAGATGGCTCCGATGGGCTGAAAAGATACGAACGTGGCATATTTTCAAGCCAGTAAGTGACAGGGATCGGCTCGCAATGGATGAAGCCAGGATCCGAAAAGTGCCCTGGTCGTTGAAAGCCGCAACCAGCGACACCATTTCGATGAATCTGCCGCATGGCTTCTTCAGGACTAAGCACCCCAAGCGACTGTTGTGGAAATGCCATACGGGTAGGACGTGTGATGAAGCAATGTTCGGGAATTAAGGGTCATTGATCTTTCGGCTTGTTCATCATTGATGTTTGACTCAAACGAGGTCGGCTGTGCAAATCCACCTCCGAAGATGGATGTCTCAAAGAATGCGAATTCATTTGGAAACGATCGTTTGGGAATTGCACGCAAGCGGTATCGCACTGTGACTGTTGGCTGCTTTGTACAGAGTAGAAGAAAATGAAATACCACAATGGCGATCGCATAATCCAAACGCCAATCTGTGACGGGGGAGATTTGGGCGGCAAGATTCTGAGCGCGCGATAGACCGAGGCCGCTAGTAGCCTGATACAAACAGCGAGCAGATATACAAAAGAAGATGGCGATATGCAAATCGGTGGAAGTGTGGGAAATTTCCTCATTTTTTCACGGAAGACTTTTGACAGCGTCCAGTTGGTGCATTTTACAAGTATACTGTATCAAAGAATGTGTTCGAACGATATCTCATTTATCACTGTTTCAACGGCTGAAGTCACGGTGATGATCCCACGATGAGACACACCAAAGCTCATTCAGTCTGCATCACTTTTACATTTATCTCTTGCACGAATTTCTTTATCTGTTGTCAGTAATGGTCAACTTGTCGTTGCTCCACTTCTTTCAAACTGAGTTGTTTGTTGACCACATATCTCTTGGACCACATTTCTCTTGCTAATACACGATTGGTTTTATCAACATCATCAAGCGTTGAGCATTATGGAGAGAGCCGAATTTGCTAGCTTGATCCGTCTTCGTGCCTATAAATTAGATGAAATAGAGCTTAAGCTAACCATACTACATGTATCCAGAGTCTCGAATATATTACCTTGAGAAGGAAAATGGATCCTTCGACTGTGTGCCACGACACACAAGGGGACGGAAAGGCCGATTTCGATCCAACTTCAGCTCCAAATGAGCGACTGAACCCGGGATTGACAGCCGAAGAAGCTCCTACGCAGGTAAGGATCATTTTAACCTCTAATGTCGCGCACGATGCTAATCAATGCAGCCGGCCTCCCAGCCGCCGGCTGACGAAGAACAAACTTCAGCAGCAGAACCCTTTCAACCGATACTACAGCTTCTCACAGAGCTTGAACGGGATGACCCAAAGCTCGCCTTTCAGGCAGCTCGAATCTTGGGACTCTACCGACGACTGTGGGATTCATGCATGTCGAAACATATTGGCAGTGAGAGGCTGGTACAAACCAACCAGGAGTTGAAAAGGGAGAATGCACGATTGGAAAATGAAAAGGGGCTGCTTCTGGCTCATCATGACGAGCAGCTATTTCAGTTTGATCATATGAACCAAGCATTGGAGGCTTCTCGGGGGCGATTGATCAGCATTCTCAATGATTGAGAGCAGTGCTCGGAAGGCCAAGTGGCAGGGCTGATGAATTGCGAGCGAGATCAGTGATTGAATCCTTGTCAAGTTCACTTCCACTATACCTATGGGATAGGCTCAAGTAGTAAAATTGTGGTGTTTCTCCAATGTTATGTTCTACCTCTTGATCTTCTTCAAAGTCGGATGCATTCGACCTCACACCTCACAATATATCAAAAATGAAAATATTACATCTGGAGAGATCCAAAGTGATAGATGGGGAGCCGAGTCAACAAAAGCGGGTGGCAAGGATCGCCTTAAGCCTATCTTTGAGCAGTTAGAAGAAATTCAAGCTGCTCATGTTTGCCGATGGAAAACGTAGCTATGTGAAGGGAAAGCATATATTGATAGGAAATCTCATCAGCACTAGATATAGGTGGCTAAGAACTTGGTTCTTCGAAGCTATTAAGGAATGTATCACAAGACAGCCATTGATGGGGCCGTAGAACCTTGCTATGCTTCACATACATGGCAACTTACATGTCCGTGGAGGTTCCAAATGAGTCGTGCCATCGAAAAGTGAAAATATTTCTAAACCGACAAAAGATGTATGGCTCCATGGATGAATCAAGGTCTATCAATGTGATAGTAAGGGAGGTCGATGATTTGCAAAGCCGACATGACATTCCCGTGGAATGCCTTCACTGTCCGTTGTCGACCCTCTAACTCCACTGCCTGTCGGTTGCAGCACTGGAGGAGACTATCAGTTTCTTCTTCCAGCGATTCGTTAACCTCGCATATATGGCGCCGCTCATCTTCAAGCCGGATACTCTCTGCAGATTTCACAACATAACTTTCCCATAGACATAGATACAAATCCAAGAGTCTTAGGGCCGGTTGGGCGAGGTCGACATTGCGATGTAGGATTTGCTTGAGTTGCACCGTGGGGAGGTTGCTCGCTGCGGTAGAGGATGAGACTGGTGAAATATCCTCTGCTTCCGGGTCGTTGCAAGTGTCCTCGGAGAGTCTTCGCTGTCTCTTGGCCGGTCGGTCGACTGGTGAAGAGGATGCAGCGGGTGGGTTCATTAGGGAAGAATGGGAGAAGATTGAGTGTGCACAACAGAGCGGATTTCCATAGATTTTAAATACAGCATATTATTCTGGGAGAGACAAATCCTGCCATCAAATTAATCTGGGCCATACGTCACCCGTGTTGCGTTGACAGACAGTTCACGCACGTTCTAACCTTTGATGCACGACGTTGAAAAACACGTGGCAATACCAATGCAGTTTCTCAAGGCAATCTGATTACCACAATGTATCGTAAGATCGATGAGTATATTCCTTTCATGCTTGCTGTACGCTCCAGTGCACCCTGCGCATCCTGTATCAATGCTAGTCGACACTTTTCTATAGCTCACACACAATGACTCAAGCAGTACCACCTCAGCGCCCGTCTGCGCAGACTGTTGTGATATGAGGCTGGTGCAGATCAGGAATCAAGCCGAAGTTGGAAGACAATGGATCCGCATATGTGATAGTACCAGTGGATTGTAATGAACATGTCTGATTTCTAGTACATCCCCTGAGCTAACAATTTATAAGGGGTAAAACTAATTACTTAATCAATCACGTTTAGCAGAAGTACCCATTAATATCCTGTTGAAGTAGGGATGCTCTGGTAGTGATATTCAGGAGGTGCCGATCAGGTTGAGCTGTTGATCATGTGACCCATGAAGTCGAATTGGCCACCGACTACCGAACCATCGGAATTAACTCCGTGGTGTCTATACAGAAGACCAAGTTGATTGGAAATCAACTTGGCTACACGTTGTATATATAGCCTCATCTTTCCTCCGAGAGTAAAATAACAATTCATACCTCTGAACTACAACAGGTTATGAGCCCGGGAGCAACTCTCGTGTGCCGTCTCTACTCATCTGAGAATCATCTTAATCTTTCGTGATTATATCTACCCCGCTTTATTGGTGACCTCTCGCAGTCAAGATGGGAACAGGAATGTGTACAGTTTGGCCATAACGGGTCACCTGTCGCTGCGGTTTTATACGTAAACGCATTAGACTGTAGCGTCAGAGAAGGCCCAAATGACCCGGGCCAAACTAGGATGGTGGAGGGGACGGTGGAGGAAGCAATAGCGATAGCGGAGCTGGCGAGCCTGTCTGGAACTGGTGATTGAGCTTGTACAAAACTGACGCGTTTGTGGTGAAATACACCCTGAATGCCTCCGAGGTCCATCTCCCGAGCACCTGGATCTGGTCGTCGAGGATCCCACTATCGTGCGCATGTTGAGCCGCACCCTTCCGAAAGCTGTGGCCCGAGTAGCCGTCCGTCTGGATGCCAAGTGCTCTCAGCTTAGTGGACAAGGTAGAGAGGAAATGGTTGCGGCTGAACGGTTTTCGGTGAAAGGAGAATAACGGGGCATCGGGCCCTTTAGGGTCGAGCAGTAGTAGCTTCTGAAGCGCGTCTACTGGGCACGCTTCGTCTCCTGTTTTTGCGAGAACAATCTGGATTCCTTCGTGGCGGCGGTCTGTCTTACTCCGTTTGAGTGTGAGTTGCACATGATCTAACGAGGACGAAAATCTGACGTCGGAGCGCGTAAGCTTTGTGGCTGAGAAGATAGAGCGTGTGTTGAGGTCCTCTGTCTTGTAGGTGAATTCTCCGAGGCGGAGGAACCCAGCAAATGCTACCCGGCAGGCAGTTGCGAAATTCAAGTCGTCCAGAAGGTTCGCAGTTATCTCTAGGGGCTGTAGCGGGAGTGAAGCTAGGCCTACGGATAGTTTCGTGATAATGACACGCAAGATCGGTTTTCTGACTCGTACTTTCGTGACGGGGTTGAGTCTTCTCGCGCCATCTATAAGGCGCCGAAAGTGCTTATTATCAAAGAGTTTATCGTCAAGAAAGTTGTCGGTATGGTAGGATCGTAGAGCGGCTAGGTCCGCGAGTGCGGTATCGGGTTTGACGACCTTTTGGTTTGAATTCCCAAGAAGTCGTGAAGTTAGCCAGGAGGTTAACGACTGTGTTGAGGCTGGCCATGCCGATAAATTTTGTAGCGCACAGTGCTTTTCGTAACTGCATTGAACGGAGTGATAGACGGAACGCGTGTTAGCGCTGAGGCCGCTCCAGAGCAGTTTTAGGTGGCCTGCATTGAGCTGAGGAGCTCGTGAAGAGAACCACGCGGGCGGTTCAATACCGAGAGGTCCTGCCAGTGGGGACAAATGTTAGCAACCTCTTGAAAGTTATTGCGGGAGAGGGCATCAGCTAATGTGTTTTCCCCGGAAGGGAGCCAATGTGGCACGATTTGGATGTCTCTCGCCGCCGCTAGGATAAGCAGGCTCTTCAGGGGTGCGTTAGGTGGACCATGAAGGAAGCCCTTCCTTAGTCCCGCGTGCGCTGTGGAGCTATCCGTGTGGATAACGAGAGTATGATGAAGCCAATGGTGGCTGAAGAGTAGGAAGCCTTGTAGGATGGCGTCTACTTCGTTAGTATTGATGTGCGCATGTGCGGCTTGAGCAACGGCCAATGGGGCAGCATTGCGGGAATGGTGCGCGTGTGCGTCTTGAGCAACGGCCATCGAGGCGGCATTGCGGGAATGGTGCGCGTGTGCGTCTTGAGCAACGGCCATCGAGGCGGCATTGCGGGAATGGTGCGCGTGTGCGTCTTGAGTAACGGCCATCGAGGCGGCATTGCTTGGATGATGCGCGTGTGCGTCTTGAGCAACGGCCATCGAGGCGGCATTGCGGGAATGGTGCGCGTGTGCGTCTTGAGCAAGGGCCAGTGAGGCAGCATTGCGGGAATGGTGCGCGTGTGCGTCTTGAGTAACGGCCATCGAGGCGGCATTGCTTGGATGATGCGCGTGTGCGTCTTGAGCAACGGCCATCGAGGCGGCATTGCGGGAATGGTGCGCGTGTGCGTCTTGAGCAAGGGCCAGTGAGGCAGCATTGCGGGAATGGTGCGCGTGTGCGTCTTGAGTAACGGCCATCGAGGCGGCATTGCTTGGATGATGCGCGTGTGCGTCTTGAGCAACGGCCATCGAGGCGGCATTGCGGGAATGGTGCGCGTGTGCGTCTTGAGCAACGGCTATCGAGGCGGCATTGCGGGAATGGTGCGCGTGTGCGTCTTGAGCAACGGCTATCGAGGCGGCATTGCTTGGATGATGCGCGTGTGCGTCTTGAGCAACGGCCAATGGGGCAGCATTGCGGGGATGGTGCGCGTGGGCGTCTTGAGCAACAGCCAATGGGGCAGCATTGCGGGGATGATGCGCGTGTGCGTCTTGAGCAACGGCCATCGAGGCGGCATTGCGGGAATGGTGCGCGTGTGCGTCTTGAGCAAGGGCCAGTGAGGCAGCATTGTGTGGATGAAGCTGGTGACCATTGGCCCGCCAGCAGTCTGATGTAGACTTGGATGAGAAGAAGAAGAGTCCCTGACCGATACTAGAGGCATCTGTATATAGATGCGTGATAGTGCGGAGGCAGGGGTCAAGTAGGAGTACGCCGTTGAAGAGAGACAAGGAGTCCCTCCACCATTCCAAATCGTCACGTACCTCGTAAGGGATACGGCGGCGCGCGCTCCTCCCATGTGGGAAGGCGGCTTGGAAGGTGTACAGAGACTGTAGCCTTGTTCTTCCTAGCCGGACAACTCTTGAACAGAAGGCTAATAAACCTGTGAGACTCTCTGTTTGCTTGAGGGAGAGACTCGCTGCGTCAAGGGCAGCTACGGCGTCCAACGTGGCGCGGCACAACTTTTCTGGCGGCAGGCGAGCTTCCATTGTAATAGAGTCGATCTGGATACCCAAGACTGTAACGCAAGTCCCTTGCTGGTCCTTGATGGTATTGCGGGGGATACGTAGATAGTCAGTGACTCCGTTGTAAACCTCGTCAAAGGGACCCGTAGGATCGGACACTGAGGGAGACCGAGTAATTGCGATAAAGTCGTCTAGGTAATGATTGATATAGAATACCGGAAGGAGACATTGGAGTATCCAATGGAGAGCCTCAGCAAAGAGGTTAAAGAGAAATGGGGCCGTAGCGAGGCCAAAGGGGAGGCAGCATTCAATATAAGTGGAATCGTTCCACTGGAAGGCAAGGAGATGCTGGTTATCCTCGGCAACAGGGACTATTCGGAAGGCGTCCTTAATGTCCCTCTTAATGATTGTGCAGCCTAGACCAGCTTGTGTGACCTGCTCGTAGATTGCATCGATTGTCATGTATTCAATGGCTGACCAAGAGTCCGGTATGCCCTGGTTAAGACCCTGTCCCGGGGGCCAGGATAGATCATGGATGCGGCGCCATCCTCCATCGTGCTTCGGGACTAACCCGAGCGACGAAACGAAGGAGGGCCTAGAGGCCAATCTAATGCGACCGAGGTTGAGATCCTCTGCTAGTTTAGCCGAGATTATGCCGGGTTCGTGTATGTGATGGTTGGTGGAATAACAAAACTGCTTCTTGCCTCTATAGCCGATCTGGGCACCGTAGGTCAGGATACCAGTGATAGTAGACCCGAGATCGCCTGGATAGTGGCGTAGGAGGTTGTTCCAGCCTTTTGCATACAGTGGTGACGGAGAGAACTGTAGCTTTGGGAGCTCTGGGTTGAAGACGGGGTATTGGAAGGCAGTATTTGGCCTGGATGGTTGACCCTGCGGTATTAGGCTTAGTGGTAAGGGATCGGGGCTCCTATCGGCCTCTGCAGTTTGTTCCCTAACGGCAGGGTCCACTTGCTATGTCTTCTTTCGGCAAGAGGAGGCGCCATGCTCGCTTAGACCGCATGCTGTGCACTCATGACGTCTCTTGCAGCCTTCCCAGAAGCATCCTGTGGTGTTGAACTTATCGCACACTTCAGTCTCCTTATTAGAAGACCTAGTAGACCGTATTTGGCGAGGTCGGGCTGAAGGGTTTGCCGGCGACTTCGCAGGCAGGGTAAGATTGTGACGGATATATTTTTCGCGAAATGGGGCTGTGACAAGGTTATTCTCCGTCGACAGCTCTCCCTTATCTAGAATATATTGGTGGAAGTTAAGGGCGAGCGGCAGTACTGCTTCTGACCACTGATAAGTTTGGGCGAAGTCCAAGATCTGCCTCATGAACATGAGTAGGTTGGGGACTGCCTTTGGATGTTTCTCGCTAAAGAGATATCCTATGACGGCTAGGTATGTAAGGAAGCAGCTCGTCTATGTTTGAGGGTTGGGACCCCAGTCCTTAAGCGATGCCGCTGCCTTCTTAAAGCCTACTGTGCCTCCAGACTCGGTCATCTTGAAGACCCTATCCTCCTGATCTAACTCGGTGACTGACTTCTCTTTGAAGCGTATAAGTTCAGTCGCCTTCAACTTCCTCTCGAGGACGCGAGTAAGAAGGGCGGCGGAGACACCCGGAAATATGTCGATGAGTGGTTTGACTTCAGGGGGTGGCTCACAGTTTTCCTCGAGATTATCGTCATCTTGTAGGTCCGCTCGAGGCCGTCTGTGGCGGAGGTCGGTCTCTGCAACATCCATTTCAAGACGCCTGGCCCTGTCTCTCTGTATCTGTCCTAGCCAACTAGCACGGTCCGTCGGGCCCATGGTTTCCCAAATGTGGGCTGGAGGCCAAGCGGAGTCAAGTGGAGCAGGCGTGACACTGCTGGACTGGCTGAACGTCATGGTGGAGAGCGATATAGTCAAGGCTTATCGGTGCTATTGCTGTAGAGAAATGACGTGAACAAAATCGAGTCTTGACTGCGTGAGAGATGACGAGCTACCACCAGAGGCAAGCAACTGACTCTTGCGAGGCAGTTGTAGGAAGAAGGAGCCCTCCGGAATGTCGGTGTAGATGTCACGTGAGGCAGCGTGGCAGCTTGAGGCAACCCCAATAAAACTCCTCCCTATAAAACGATGATAGTTGATTAGTCAGTGCTTTTCTTGCGCCCGCATCCGCACCCGCACCCGCACCCGCACCCGCACGCTCGGTTGCAGCTTGTTCCTTGGCCCTCTGATCCTCTCTCCAGGTGCTGACGAATCTTTACTTGAAGAAACCACCCGCAGCTACCTTATGTGAGCAGAATATGTAGATATAAGGGCAAAGGAGCACGTAGTCTAGCCTTGACACATTGCCACCCTCTCACCAGTGTCATTACGCGAATATCTAGCAATGATTAATGATCTACACGGTTTCATCCCTGCCCTCGCCGGGAACGTTGCCATAATAACCGGTGGCCACACAGGACTGTATGACACCCTTCTTGACGTATTTGATTTATTTTCTCGTATATCTGGAGATACGGTCCTAACTTCTCTGATGCAACAGTGGCTTCGGTACCAGCATCGAGCTTGCGAAACACGGCGCCCGTGTGTATATTGCCAGTCGATCCGAGGCAAAGTTCAAAGATGCGAAGCGGGATATCATTGCCGAGCATCCGGAGGCAGATATCCGGTTACTAAAGTTAGACCTAGCCGATTTGGACAGTGTTCGTGAGGCGGCGGAATGGTTTTCTCAGTTAGTCATATTACCGACCTGTGGTGCGTGTGAGCATTGCTCTGACTAATGAAGGTATAGTCAGGAATTAAGTCTCCATTTACTTATCAATAATGCTGGCGTATGTTATATACCTCCCCTCATGAGGCATGACTTACATGTTCTAGGTCATGTGCGTTCCATACGAGGAGACAAAAGAAGGATTTGAAATGCAGGTGGCAGTATGTATATCCCATATGATAGCTTTCTTGGAGCATTCTTTGATATTATTTAGGTGAACTATATAGGTCATTTCTTGTTCACAGAGCTCCTTCTCCCAATGCTCCAAAGAACTATAGAGAAGGCCGACAAGGGAAGCGTGCGCATCGTGAATGTATCCAGCGACGGGCATGCTAAATTGGCCCCGAAAGAGGGCATAGTCTTTTCGGATATGAACATGAAGAACTTCTCTGTCTGGGCTCGGTACGGCCACTCCAAGCTTGCCAACGTATTGCATGCGAAAGAACTGGCCAAGAGGTACCCCGACATTCTTACATTCTCTTTGCATCCGGGAACAGTGAAGACGTATGTAGGCTTTCCCTGTCCACTCGCCAAGACTCGGATCTAATGGTACTTAGGAACTTATCCGCAGGGCCAATCTCGTCAACCCCGCTTTATCGGCTAATTAAACCGCTTGTCGAGCTAGGTGCGCCTGGCCCACGGAAAGGGGCAGCGAATATCCTCTTTGCTGCTGTGTCGCCCAGCTTGAAGAGAGAGGCCGACAATGGAGCGTACTTGTTGCCAGTTGGAAAGGTTTCAGCGCCAAGTAAAGCTGGATCAGATGCTAAAATGGCGGAAAACCTCTGGGACTGGACGGTGAACGCCCTCAGAAGTCGGGGGTACTGATAAGGGCGAATCATGCAACATCTCATCTACCAAGCCCATAATCAATGATCTGCCAATACAGCAAGCGCATTATTATCTCCACAAATTCTTTTCAGCAGATGGAAGTATCTCCATCCCTGGCGTATAAGTGTCAATTCTTCGCAATCGATGGCTGCCAATACCATCCCCGCGTGGCTAATGAAGGCTACGCACTCATCATGATGGTCTGACGCTGCGGCGCCGGTGAATGCAGCCCAGGTAAACACTTCCGGGGCTTTGCGGATCCAGTATAAAGGCTCTATTTGCGCCAGGTGTTTCAAAAGCTGCCGAACTTTGTGATCGAGCGTAGTGTTTGAAATTTCCTCGCGGCGCGATTGTCGGCGAAGTATTTCCCAAAATATTTGGCAGCAGAGCTGGCAGCATACATTTAGCCTTTGATGCGTTGAAAGAGGGTGATTGTATTCGGCTGTGCCCATCGAATCACTTGTCGGTGCATGGGAGAGCGCGCACTCAACTTCAGCAGCAAAACTACAGTGATCAGCCTGAACCAAATGATCCAACCGCGAGATGGCTTCGTAGACGTCCAATATTGCATCCACAGAATCTTTTTGAAAAATTGATTCGGTATTGCTAAAAGTGACCCTCGACACTAAATTTCGAATCAGGGTATTTGGGCGAATTGATTCAGAGTATAAGCAATCCCAAATGGGGAGCATGTCGAAGATGCAGGCAAATGAGATCATTACTCTAGAAATGTTATTTTATAAATCGATCAGCTCAGAAATTAATAATGATCACATACATCTTGATGATGGCAATCAGAGGTCCTATATCGTCGCGGAAAGTTTTCGGTGCGGCAAGGAGCATCTTTACCAGGCCTTTTTGGTGAGCAACTGCTGACCCTCGATCAAGTGAGACCATCTACAGCCCGTCATGAGTATCTGTTTCGCATATTTTGTCCTGCCAAAATATACTAACACTAGAATATAGCAAGGGTATTACCGCTCCAATTGTTCCATAAGTCAAGACTGGCTCAGTTTGTGCTAACCGTTCATTGATCAAGCGGATAGCCCAGGTCTGATGGTACAGGGTTAGCGTGGTATTTGGCCGGCCCAGCAACCTGTCAATCGAAGCGGATGCACTGAACAATGTTGCGTGGAATAAGCATGGATCGGACATGGCGTGCAGCATCCACTGCGAACGGAGATGGTGGGCCAGGCTGTCAGCTACCACCGTACCCGAGGGTAACGCTATAGACGTGAGAACTCCAGGGTGATGAGTAAATGGCGAATGCAATGAGTGACCGTCGCATGACTTACAGAATTGTACTAGATCCGACATATATGAGCGGTATCTAATAGGAGATTCGAATGCCATTCCCATTTCTGAGAGTGGAGAAAAGTCTAATCCTGGCTGGAGCTCGTATCTAGTTGCTTCGGGATCATCGGTTGCAATGAGCGGAGCTCGGGAGCTGTTCGGAGCTGGGGTGCTGTTCGTTCGGTATATACAACTGGTGCCGACTCTGAAAGCAAATCGCGTCAGCCTCATTCTTGAGGACTAATCATGGCCACGCTCGGCCGTGTCAGCCAATATTCCGACTATCCTAGATATACCTCACACAGCGAGAGCAACTTGAGATAATACGATCACATCTACGTCGATGCACCGTACATGGTATACACGTGTTCGGCCACACGCTTTCCATCAATGGCACTGGTTGAGTCGGCTGGGCGACATATTCCGATGGCGGGACTGTTGGATATTCGCAGGGCCTATCTAGCCTAGTCGATACGCTGAGTTTAGTCTTCATATGAATTGTACCCATCTTGATCCTCAGGCGGTCAAACATACTTCTTGCATCGAGAGCAGATTGGAAGCCGCTTATCGCATCGTCGCTTGCCAGACTTGCAGGTCAGACAGGCCAGCCCAGCTCTGGCATGTTCAATTCCCGCAGCCATTCCTCTAATAACTGGAATATGACAATGAACCGAGATTGATTGACATGCCGAAAGTCCTGAGGACGTGGTTAGATAAGGACATGGCAGAGTGGGATAACATGTCCTCGAGGAAATGACTTAGACGAGACGGTGAAAAGTTAATCCGTGCACCACTGATGCCAAGTCCAATCACATGACTTTTTCTCTCGCCGGATCGGTCTGAAGCAGGCCATGGTCTTTATCTAAGTAATCGTGTTACCGATCGTGCAAGCGTGAGGGTGTTACTGTCACCTTTACTGAAAGTATGGCTGTTGTTGAAGAGTACAATACAATATCTATTCTAATACAATATCTATTCTAAGACATATGACATATGCAACACATCGAGATACTGTACATACTGACGACCTGAAGAAGTGGTAGAATACCACTGTAAGGCTTGAAGTCTTCACTTTCACTTTCCACTCGATGATATACCGAACGACGTTCCCGTGAAGCTCGTCATCTGGGCTGCTTGCTTCCCACTCAAAAAGCTGAAGCAGCTTGGGGATGCCCGGTTGGGGAGAGGTGAAGGATTCAGGACGGTCCTGGGGGCAACGGGCCGGTGAAGTGCTGAACCCATAATCGGAGGGTGGGGTTTGTTCATAGTATCCTGGAGTGGGGGTGTATTGCGAATCCTGATCCGGGAAGTCGGCCTCCTGAGCTAAAGATTCATCACCGTTGGGATAGGAGAGGTTAATCATCGTTCTCAATTTCCTAGCGAGTCAAACTTCAGCAAACTTTGGCCATTCAGGGTTCAACAGAGACTGGGACCCAACGAGTCCAGCATTTTGTAAGGGCAGGTAAGTCGTTTGCAAATAAATATTTCATCCCACCAGTGTTGTATCTACGTATGCCTTCGCGCGTGCGTTGTGTTAGTTAGGTGGAGTGAGCGTGGGTGGCCGAAGGGGAGAATGAAAGGGGCAAAGAAGGCCAGGCAAAGGCAACCGACCGAATCTTTGTCAAACAGCCTGTTTGGTGTGTTTGCAAGTGAGTGGTTCTAGACAGGGCATAGACCATACATCCATGTTACGAGAGCTATTTTTATGTGATTATTTATTACCGTACTGGAGTACTGCCAAGACTGTGGGCCCGGGTAGGGTAACCATAATAGGTATGGCGTTATGCAAGATAGAGTTTGGCAAACAACTAGAGAGAGTGAAGTCGTGAATCTGATTTCGAGCGCGTCTGGGCTCACCCCTGTCTCCGATTCTATTCCTCTTCTTCAACGCCGACCTCGTGCAGAGACCGATCGACGGCCAAGGAGGAGCAATTGCCTTCGTGGATGACTTTACCGCGTGGGTCACAGGGCCAACCGTACAGAGTAATCGAGATGGCATTGAAACAATCATCAAGGAAGCGCTCGACTGGGAGAGGAGGAGCGGAGCGACTTTTGAAGCAGACAAGACAGCCATTATACATTTCGCACCCAAGGCTCGCAAAGTGGACCAAGAACCGTTCACTGTCAAGGGACAGACGGTCGAGCCTGAAAACAAGGTCAAAATCCTGGGGGTCCTGATGGACACGCGACTGAAGTACAAGGAGCATATTGCAAGGGCAGCATCTAAGGGCCTGGAGGCCGCGATGGAGCTGCGACGGCTCCGTGGCCTCTGCCCGGCGACAGCACGGCAGCTGTTCTCATCGACGGTGGCCCCAGTGGTGGACTATGCCTCCAACGTCTGGATGCACGCTTTCAAGAATCAGAACATCGGACCAATCAACCGGGTCCAAAGGGTAGGAGCACAAGCTATAGTGGGGACGTTCCTCACCGTTGCAACCAGGGTCGCGGAGGCAGAGGCCCACATAGCCACTGCCCAGCAGCGATTCTGGAGACGGGCCGTGAAGATGTGGACTGATATACACACGCTACCGGAAACCAATCCTCTCCGCAGGTGTACAGATCGGATCAGGAAGTTCAGGAGATACCACCGCTCACCATTATACCAAATAGCCGACGCGCTGAAAAACATCGAGATGGATTCGCTGGAAACTATCAATCCGTTTACACTAGCCCCATGGGAAAAACGCATACAGGCTGATGAGTCCATTTCAGAGGGATCAACCATACCAGGCGGGTCAATGCAAATTGCGTTCAGCAGCTCGGCGCGGAATGAGCTGGTCGGGTTCGGAGTGGCGATCGAGAAACAACCACCTCGCTATCGGAAAGTGAGACTGAAGCTCTTGTCCGTCACATTGGGCGCAAGGGTAGAGCAAAATCCATTTTCCGCGGAGCTAGCGTCAATGGCGTATACATTGAAAACACTTGTGGGACTGAAAGATTTTAGGATCACACTGATAACGAGCAACAAAGCGGCGGCTCTCACGCTGAAGAACCCTCGACAGTAGTCGGGGCAGGAATTTGTCTGCCAAATCTACAAGCTGATGAGAAGACTGCAGAAGAAGGGAAATCGAGTCAGTGTACGGTGGATCCCTACGGGCGAGAACAACAAACTGTTAGGTCTGGCGAAAGAACAGGCCCGAGCCGCAACACAAGAAGACACCGTTTCGCAAAAACAGGTCCCTAAGATGAAATCAACGACTCTGAATCTAGTGCGGTCTCAAGCTGGCCCTAGCAGTGAGCTGCCCGACAACGTAGGCAGACACTCCCGGCGAGTGGATACAGCACTTCCAGGGAAACACACGCGACAGCTATATGGCCAATTATCGTGGTAAGAAGCGAGCGTGTTAGCCCAGCTCCGCACGGGTATGGCAAGACTCAATGGATACCTCTTTCGGATCAATGCCGCCGAGACCGATCAATGCGCATGTGGACAAGCAAGAGAAACTGTGGACCACTTTCTCTTTCGATGTCGGAAATGGACTGCACACCGGACGGAAATGCTGCAATGCACCCACACTCACCGAAGTAACATGTCCTTCTTCTTGGGAGGGAAATCACCCTCCGATGATCAAAAGTGGAAGCCGAATTTGGAAGCCGAATTTGGAAGCCGTGCGAGCCTCAATACGATTTGCGATCGCTACGGGCCGACTCGAGGCCACCTAGGCTTGCTGACAAATGGATAGAATACCTCTTCTTACTAACCCCCCTACGCCTTGTGACAGACGGTAGACGCGCTTCAACTGCCGAGGATAGGATCTTGAACACTTGAAGAAGCGCCTTCAAGCCAGTCTACCAACCAATACTAATCCACAGGAACCAGCTATGAGAGTGGAAGCGGAAATGACAAATACTGAAGGAAATACTGTATGGGCTCCAAGGAGATACGGTGTATACCCTAACATGCATGTACTGGTATATTAGTGATAGTTGCTATTTTGGCTTAGCCGCCGGGCGTTAATGAATTGTGTGTGTGTGTGTGTTTCGATGTACTGTGACCAGTCATTTGGATTTCCACAGCTACCGAACCTGATTGCTTGACGGGCTTTGGTTCCATACTGTCTGGGTAAATGAAATTGCCCATACATTTAGGCAGGGGGAGACAATCCTCCGCACCGCCCCTCTTTTCTTTGATGGACCAAGGATCGGATCGCAACTGGATCAAGTTCATTTGGAATGCCCAATGTGCGTTTGGAGTTATTGCGTCTTGTCTGAAAGGTTCGGCAAGCCTTTGACACATTTAAGAAGAGTCAGTATAGAGATAAGAGTAGACCAGTAGATTGATCCAGCTGTATGGTCTATAGCATGCCATTTCTAGCAGTCCAGGCGTTCTCTGTCGCAAACGACTGATTCACCAAGCGGAGATTGGTCTGTCAATTGGAACACACGCGAGCACAATGCAGGACATGTGATATACACGGACTCGGCTTGTGGACTCAGCTCCGGAGTGGAGTTCATTTGGAAGCCAAGGCTTTAATCCACGGCGATAATAATAATAATAACCAGAAGAAGAAGAAGTAGAATTTGTCGGATGTTGCATCCCGTTTGGAATTAGCACGAGGTTGGTAGATTATAAAAGAGGACAGCTCTGGTTTTGGTCTCAAAACTATCCGCAGGATCGACCATCTATACGCACACAGAATGAAGGCTATATTGCTCATTTTACTCCTCACTCAGACAAGTCTCGGATGTCAACTATCCTCCTTATTCTCAAGCTTCGGACCAATTCACGAGGAGAACCAGCAAAATCTCAAAGATCATTCTCGATCTGCTTCGGCCTACCACACACTCCCATCCTGGTACACATCTACACTTCTTGCCCGACGCCTTCTACACAAGTCTACTGTCGGAACCATTGCAACGGTATTTCCCGATAAAATTGTGTCCGACCCAGCTCGCCACTGGCAACCCCCGTCAAACGTCGCTAGCCTGCCTGTTGCACTACCGGAGTACATCGCAGCATGCTCTGACTCAGGCAACCCCACCATCCTCGGTCTTGATCTTGGCACGACCTTCAAAAACGTGGCTTTCGGCTCCAATGTCTCTTTATCAATCGACTGGTGGGACCACCTGCCAGCCCCCAAGGTCCCCGGGCTACGCGGTTCCAGTCGCGCGGCGCTACCGCGTGCTGTGTTGATAGGGCATATGGACCCGTACCCAATCCCGCTAGATGCAGACACGCGTATGGGGCTGGAAAAGTGCTTTCTGGCGGCGCATCCCGACGCACTAGCATGGCTGCCAGGTTCGGAGCGTGCGGCACACTCAGGGTTTTGGGCACAGTTGGTGGTCCAGCAGGTGATGTGGATTGGGGGTTTCGGAGATAGGGCTCTAATTGGGTGGGTCAATATGACCGAGTGGAGCGGTATTCAGTTTGGGCCGAACGAGCTCGGTGTGGGTGATGGCAGGGGTTGGGGGGGATGTTCGCTTACCTGGAGAAAAGCATTAGGTAGTCAAATAGTTGGAGAGTTGGGTACACAGGCAGAAGATGGTCTTTTTTTGGAAGCTCATGGAGTGTGACGACTGAATTTGGGCCCAGGACTCGGAACCAAGTAATGCGTCCGTAGGTGGTTGTTCTTGGAGCTTATTTTCCAGAAATGTGAACCTGGTTTTAGAGTTTAGAGATCAAGATATCATACAAAGCATACAAATTCTACCTTTAGATGAGATGGGGGCCAACATCTTCTTCGTTAATTATGGATGATCTCATATTTGTTACGATCAAGCTGCGCACAGAAATTTTGTACATCAGGTAAAATTGAGCTAGTCACTTTTGAAAAACTGAGTTCAAAACACCTAAAGTCATATATCAAATTCATACTAATAATAACTGGAAACAATAACTAAACAGGTTCACACTTCCCACATCTGAAATGTACGCGATTGCACCACTATTCAACTCACCTGATCTTGCGTAGCCCAAATGGAAGATTGTCATCCGCCATGGGATGAGGCGACGTCCAATCTACATTCCGAACTGATGCTTTCTGCCGAAAGAAGCGATACTTCTGTAGAATTCTTCTGTATCCAAACAGTAGGGCAATTCCAAAGGCTACAGTGGCCACAGAGGCAACTATAATACCCGCAATCGCCCCGCCTGAAAGACCTGAGCCGGAGCCGGAGCTCTTCTGGGTCGTCTCACTGGCAACCGAAGTTGAATCCGATCTTGCTGTGGCAGTAGAGCCAGCCGCAGTCGTAGTACTCACGGCGGTGAAGTCGTCCGTAGTCACATTGAAGCAGGGGACTTGGTAGGTAAACTTGCTCGCCGGAATGTAGGTAATATCCGCACACGCGTAGTAGGTTTCGTTTTTGTTGGTATCGAAATCGGAGGTGTATTTGATTTGAAATGTTGCGTTCATTCCCTCTTCCACGTCGATGGATGGGTTGGGGACGGAGTAGCATTCGTGTCCTGGCTCGATGTCGGAGATGCTGGAGCCTCCAATGAAGGACTCGAAGTCGTCGTTTGTAGTTGGATCTGAGGGCGAGTCAGTCAGGATAAATACAAAAGATGGTACTAGCTTACTGCTTTTGTGGGAGATGGCAACCTGCACGTTCCATGACTCGTCTTGGACCACAAGTGCGAGCTGGCCGTTTACTAGAGTGTTCTCAGTATATGTGCTTTCGAAGGTTTTCAGATAATATGCTCTTACTCATTGGAAAGTTTGTTCTGTTCACGGCCCCGGTTGATGAGCCACACGGCGCGGCATTGTCATGTGCTGCACCCCAGAGACGATCAGGTGGCCACAGAAAGGCAACCGGGCCCATCTCAGTGCTAGCTTCTTCGCCGTGAGCACATACTCCAACGACATAGAGAGTAATTAATGCGAGGTAGTTCTTCATCATCAAAAAACTTAATCTGGCAAGAGGCGAACAAATAAGTTTTGGAAGGTAAAGACGGAAAACCGAGAGACATTGGAGTTTATAAATTGGGGTTTCCTAACCATCCCGACCTTGCTTGCAAACTGTGAGTCATCTGAGAGATGTATGATTATTTCTTTGGCTGGGCCGAATCCACTTCCAAGGGGTTGAATAATTTCTAAGGGCGTGACGACCAGACTTTTTTCAGGATGTCAGAATCGGGAATCCTCTCACCGAAGGGGCATATCTGATAACCGTTAGTGAGCTGTCAATGTCGACCAATGAGCCAAGACGTTAGTCCAATTTTGATAGCTTGCCAAGGAAAGCAAGTGAATCAATTGAAGCCGGAAAACCCCGTGTACAAAGAGCGTAGAGAGAAAAATGGGATCTTGATCAGATTAGATCAATCAGATAAGATGGGTGGGTCTCGCTTAGCGGCATCGCTTCCACAATTTCATCTTGCATCCTTGGCTCATGTGAGACATGGCCGAGACGGGTAATTTGTTCCGAAAATCCGCGAGCCTCCGAGATCTCGTATGACCTCGGTAAGCTCTAGATGAGACGGTCCAGCCAAGTCATTATATTTTAGTAACATTCACAAGTCTATAAGTAGCTCCTGAAATGCCGTGGCTTCGGTGCCTAGATCGTCAGTCTTTACCGTTAAAAACAGTGAATCCTACATCTTTTGATTATTTTTTAAACACCATCATGCACCTTGTCACTCTTATTTCTTTTGCCTGCACTGTAATTAGTGCCAGCGCATTCCAATTTCCAGAATTTGTTCCTCTGCACCGGCGCCAGGAAGCGGGAACGCCTGCATACGAATGTCATGCCAACTGCGGTATGCTCCATATCATATAACCCTATAATGCGACTCCTTGACTGACCAACAAGGCGGTGTGATTGTCGACGCTCGTACGGATGGATACTGTGATTCTGAGGATTTCACCATCGAGCTGGCTGATTGTTTGGCTTGTGCTCTTGAGTATGACATCTGGCAATACTACGGGACCTCTGTGTCCGAGGCTGCTGAAGCATGCGGATTGACCGCCACCCCCGCCGAAGCATCATCCACTACTACGTCTGACAGCGCTAGCGCTACGGAGACTGCCGAACAGAGCGCTACTTCTGTAGTCGACTCCAGCATAATTACTGATACGGCAAGCTCCGCCACTCGTACCACCATCATCTCGACCTCGGTGCCAAGCTCCAACGGTGTACATATCTCTTCTCGGCCATTCTCGTCGATTCCTTCGGCTACCGCTGCTAGAAGCTCGGTCAGTTTCGCTTCTACTTATAGGGCTTCCAGTTTGCACAGACAGCTAACTTATTATAGGCCGCTAGCACTCCTTCTTCCAGCACCCTGTACAGTGGTGCTTCATCCACCACATATGGTCGATCACTTCTTGATGTTTTGGCAGGATTTCTTGTTGCAAACTTCATGTAGCGGATCCGCTACGTATATGGATGTATGTGATTCTCCCTGGAGAAAGATTGAGGGTGGTCAGAAGAAATATGGATAGTATGTCTTCATTTCTCTCTGTGTCAGGTCTCTTCACCTGTCTAGTCGTGCCTATTGAACAATGGGTTATTTTTAGTATTAATAGTGGATAACTAGAGCTTGTGTCATCTGCAATTTTTGAGAGTATAATTATTGTTTAACATCCGATGCTTCGTGGGAGATCAGCGCCTCCCAGAAGCAGCGCCCGATATCACCTGCTTAAATTGAAATGTGTCTGTGTTTTGTGCATAATTTGCTTCTAGTTTGATAATTATAAATTGCCTGTTCTGCCTTGCTAACGATATATGACAGCCACAGCACGATGTGCGCTTCTCCCCACCCAAAGCGGTTTTTCATAGATCTGTATTTTTCAGTTCATCATATAGGAAACGGGCAATTATTCTTCGAAAATGTTACTTACGAAGAATCTACTCCGCCAGGTTGTTTGCCAATTCTCGGTATGTGTGTCGTTTGTCGGAATCGGCCATACGTCACTGGGCGACCCAGATTGCCGACTTATGTTCCAGTTTCAGACGGACGATGATGAGTTAAACATCATAGAAAGTTTTCTGAGAATCCTTCTTTCGGTACTACTATCCACTGTTCTCTTTGGGAGATTGATTTCCGAGGAGCAATGCGTGGGAGGATGGCTGTTTGCTGACCAGGCGCATGGAGAGTCGTTGCGCCTTGAAAACCAGCCTACCACCACATATTTTGATGAAAGTGAGGATGGAGATGATCCAAGGCCGCAGTTCATGAGTTCTGAGCCTATTTATCGCAACGCGCCTCCTGAAGGCTTGTCTCATCTTACAGCGGTCATGATATACGGTCAGATGTCTTTTATTACCGGCGAAATACTGCGCCTTGCATGAAGCTGGATCAACTTCACGATTGTTGAATACTCGGTCGCGTACGCAGAGGCCAAAGAATGTTTGATTTTCTCTGTAAGACGTATCTAAAGGGAGGCTAGCTTAACATTGGTGATATTGCGGTAATTGGATACGACCTGGAGCCAGCAGGGCGCATTCTTGGGTTACAGGAATTCTAGAGCGATAATACCCTTGATCTCAGAATTTTACATTACCCTTTCAAATATGTATAGTAGTGATTTGATGACAACTAAAGTATGTTGGCATGTATTTGGTTTCGTAGGTATACGAAATAAGACACTATTATGTATAAACTACCAACACTGTGTGTTGCGCAAAAATCACCTATACTTGATTTGGCATCTTGAAATCGCTTCTCAGGACACAGAAGAGTGGTAAATGAAAATGTATTTCAGTAGATAGCGGTCAAGGTCCTACGCAAAGATTCAACCAATGTCTAGGGTCCAAATCCGTCACTTCTAATGACAAGGAAAGATAATATTAAGCAATATTTCTCGGATTCCATTCAGATAGTTATTGTAGACTAGACTTTTACACAGAAAACATCTCCTCCACGAAAATATGTTTTCTGTTGTAGTTCAGAGGAATTGATTGAGTTGTTATTATTCTTGAGGGGATACACGAGGCTATATACAACGGGAAGACCAAGTTGATTTGCAATCAACTTGATTCTTCGTATAGGCAACCCGGGATTATTTCCGATGTTGCGGCTTTGTTCCTGGCCTGCGCCAGCCTCATATCACAACATTCCCCCTCAGGATCGCTTTGCTCGCAGGGCGATACTGGATCCATACATTGCTGCCAGACCTCGGTAAAACCACTTCAAACCTCATGGGAAAACAGTGGAAAGAGCGCCTGTGCTAATGGAAGGTCGGCTTCTGAGTTTCTGTGGTTTCGACTCCTAAGAGACTACAGAAGTTGGAAAATGCCGTCGGTCCCAAAGGCTTGGTGAAACCATCGGCTGCTTGTTCGGCTGTCGGAACATACCGCAGGCTGATTTCTCCGGTATTCAGAGCTGCTCGCTGGTAATGGAACTTCACATTGAAGTGCTTTGTCGGCTTGTGAAACTCTGAGTTTCGAGAAAGTGCAATCGCCGATTGGTTGTCAGCCATGATATTGGTCACTGGCGATGTGTAAAGGTGCGTTTCCGCCAAGAATGTGCGGAGCCACTGGAGATGGAGAATGGCATTATACTGTCCGAAATACTCGGCATGAGTCGTGGACGTGGCCACTTCCCCCTGCCTTTTAGACGACCAGGATACTGGAGCTCCTGCAAGTTGGAACACATAGCCGGACGTGGAGTAGGCACCATCTGAAACGACGGAGCCACCAAAGTCGGCGTCAGTGTATCCAATCAATCTTCCGTTGCGGTATGTGATACAATAGGATTGTGTGGCCTTAATATAGCGTAATAGTCGCTGCAGTGCGGCTTGATGGTGCGCTTGCGGTCGGGATGTGAAGCGACTCAACGCCCCCAGCGCAAACGCGATATCGGGCCGGGTTCCGACCATGAGATACATCAACGAACCGATGGCGGCCCCAAATCGTGCTTTGGTTTCTTCGTCGGAGTCCGGCTCCTCCGGACGATAATTAAGGACAAGCTTTGGGTTCATGGGCGTGTTCTTCGGCTGACATGTCTCCATGCAAAAGTCAGAGAGCACCTTCTGGATGTACTGTTGTTGGTGTATCGAGACAGATCTATCCGCATGAAATTCGAACTGGATTCCCAGGAACGAACGTGGGGTTCCTAAGTCGTTCAATTTGAACTCTGTCTCTAATGCCTTTCGAACACGCTGGATTTCCTTGTCATTGGCTGCTGCAACTAGGAAATCATCAACATAGACGCAAACAACACAGTCGCTCTTGTAGAAAACACAATTGTCGGATTGAGCCATGGTGAAACCGTGTGCGGTCAGGACGCGGCGGACGCATTGGTACCAGATCCGCGGGGCCTGTTTTAGGCCATACAAGGATCGTCGAAGTCGGCATACATACCCTGGCTCTTCGAAGCCTTCGGGTAACTCCATATAGATAGATGAGTCAACATCACCATGGAGGAACGCGGTGACCGCGTCGAATTGGTGAAGTTTCCATCTACGCAGCACGGCGCTAGCGACGATGCCGCGGACCGAGTCCATCCGAGATACGGCTGTGAATGTTTCATGGTAGTCGACACCCTGTTTCTGTCGGTAGCCTTTGATGACCAGTCGCGCCTTGCGTGTTCCACTAGTCTTGGTCTTAAAGACCCATTTGCAGCGATCACATGCTCTCCAGCCGGAACGTCTTTACGTAGAACCTTTTCCCAGGTTCCATGCTCGAGTAGAGATGCATATTCTTTCTGGATGGCTGCCCACCACTCTAACTGGTTCGGACCTGATACAGCTTCACCAAAGGTCGAGGGGTCGACTTCTTCCGCCAGGGAAGCTTTCAGCACCCCTGTTGAGTACACCTTTCCGAGCGACTCCAGAAGCCGCCGGGAAGGTCTTCTCCTACGACCATATAGAGAGTGGCCGAGGTCTGGTATCGATGGAGCTTTATGGTGGGTTGGATTGATCGGTGGAGGTGTCTCCGGCACTGGTTCAGATGGCATTCTCGTTAGCTTGTCCGGCGCCGGAGGTGTGGCAGGTGGTGTTAGCATTGCGCCAGGTAGTGGTGGCGCTGGTTGTGGAAAGGCAGGTGATGGAGGAGCGTTGTCCGGGAGGTCGTTGCCTGTCTCCCCCTTGATGATTGGCGCCACAGGGGTCCTTTCATCGAACTCGACATCACGGGAAAAGACTGCCTTCCCTGAATGAACCTCGTAGAGCTTGTACTGGTTGGGTTCGCATTAACCAAGCATTCGGCACTCGGAGGATCGAGGTCCGAGTTTCGCCCGATGTTCTTTTGGGATCAATACCCATGCGCGGGAGCCGATTCGTCGCAGGTGCAACAGTGTGGGCGGCTTCCCGTATAGCATTTGAAACGGTGTCTTTTTCTGCAGAATTGATGCTGGAGCGCGCAGCTTGAGATAGACGACCGTATCCACAAGCTCGGTCCACCAGGAAGGAGGAAGTTTCGCATCGGACAGGAGCGTGTTGATCCGTTCCCGGATAGTGCGATTCGTGCGTTCGGCCAGCCCGTTCTGCCCTTTGCAGTATGGCGGCGAGGTATCAAACTCAACTCCCTGGGACTCGAGGTGTGTTCCAATCGGCAAGTATTCTCTTCTATTATCGGTGAGGAACCTTTTTATCCGGGCGCCGAATTGTCGGTGCACCCAGGCTTCGAACTGTCGGAAATTTTGTAGCGCTTCATGCTTCCATCTCATGGCATATGCCCACGAGCCACGAGAATAATCGTCAGTATAAGTGATAACGTACCTAGAGCCATTTTTGGCAACTGGCATTTCCATAATGTCCGAGTGGATCATTTCAAATATTCTCGACGAGTGCAGACGTGGCCGTCTTGCACGGGAGTTCCTCTTCTGATGCTGCTTACCCGCCATGCAGGCCGGACACTGTGGCGTTGCCAGCAGCTCCGTCCTAGTCAGTGGTTGGTATGGAGTGCCGGTCTGCCGGAGGACCACCCTCAAGTCTCCCCGGTTCAGATGTCCCATCCGAGCGTGCCACAGCGCTTCGGTGGCCTGGTCCACTTCTCTGCAAGCATATTCTTCAAGTATCACAGCTTCACCACCGAGTTCAGAGGTTGACGCTGCGCATTCTGCGCCACTTGACTCCGGAAGGTCGTCGACGTCCATGGCCACCACCTGCGGTTCCAGGGAATCTGCATGGTCATGAGCCGCCGGCGCCCTCGCCAGTTGGACTCGTTCTTGGGATCTCTGGCTCACATGGCACCGCAGGATCAGCAGATCCTCCTCCGTATGGTAGGCGGTCCCTACCGTCCGTCTTCGGTGTTGCACAAAGACGTTCTGTGGATGCGCCACCACCGAGTAGCGGTCTCGTAGTAGTTTCGGCATGCTAATCAGGTTCATCCCGACGCGTGGCGCGAAGTACACATTCTTTAACACCAGGGGTTGGTTGAACTTCCCCCGGAGTGTGAGCTTCACCGTACCAATCCCTTCGGCTTCCACTGGATTGCCCGCCGTGTCCAGCATCTTGCGGTAGGGCCGCAGACTACTGAAGCAGCTCCGGTCCCAGCAGATGTGGCTGGTGGCGGCCGAGTCCAGGTTCCACCGGGGTTGCGGTGCGTGGGTATAAAGGGTCGTTACCCTCGCCCTCACGATATTGATCCTCGGTCTCTTGGAAGTCAGCTGGCCCTGCCGTTCTTCCACCTGGCTTGATGATATGGTGTTTCCTGGTGAGCCGGAAGCACTCCGTTCTGTCTTGACGGCTGAGTCCCTTTGCGGGCATAATTCTGGGTGTTTCTTCCAACACTTAGCGGCTATATGACCTCGCTTCTTGCAATGGTTGCATTTCTTTGTGTTAGCTTGGACTGTATTGACAGATGGCCCTGTTGCCCCTTGCGGTGGGGTGGGAGAGTCCTTTCTCCGTACCGTCTGTTCGGCATTAGCCAGACGGTTTCCGATTGTGGTTGGATTGACCGGATCTTTGTCATTTTGGATGGCATCCACGATCAGGATGTATTCCGGTCCGATCTGTGTCAACAGCATTGCAATATGTGCCCTGTCGCCAATTGATCCAGGGGCGATGGCATTCAGCCGATGCACCAGCATTCGCACGCGATCTACAAATTCACGCACGCTGGCACAACGGTCGCCAGTCGTTTCGCGAAGCTGGGCGAACAGCTCGCAAAACGTGGCGAGCTCTATGCGCCGGTACTGTTCTTCGAGTTCATTCCACAGGTCACGGGAGGTCTCCAATCCCGCGACGTGCATACTGATGTTGGGGGAAAGGTACCGGAAGATGGTGTGGTAGGCCTTAGCCTCGCGACGCGACCATTCACGATGGCGCTCGAACGCTTGGATCTCCACTTCGAGGTGCGTGTCAATGGCTCGCTGCCTCACCGCCCCATTAAGGTGGGAATCTACTAAGGGGCTGATGTCCGCTGTAATTGGCTTGGCATACTTGAACAAGCAGTCTGGACGTTGAAGGTCGCCCGACACCATATCCCAGACCTGCCTCGCTTTGAGGTAGGAGGTCATGAGACGTTTCCAGGTCGCGAAATTGTCGCTTCCTGTCAGAGGCTCGATAGCCGTAATAGCTCGGTCGGGAGAGTCATGGACCAGAGAAGACATATTGATGACTGGAAAAACATTGCCCATTGCAACAAACTATTTGTCTACATTTCCGTCAATGGCTTCCACATGCTCTGCATATTCCACTTCATTTTGGATCTAATTTTCGAAGGCCGGTATATATCGATGCGCAAGAATCAAAGCATCAACTCGACGCAGAGATAAACTTTGTACTTGCGCAAGTTTGCATTTCTTGCACAATAGGACACATGAAGCCCGTAAGCGACGTAGAGCAAAATGCTTTATGGTTACACGGCAATCCAGGAATGTAAAGCAACGAGGAGACTTGATCAGCATTAATACTTCGCTAGTGTCAATAGGTTAAGTCGATAATCTATTACATTCTAATATCGTTATTATCGCACCCAATAATAGATTATTTCTTGTATAGAACACAAATAGGCAGATTTTAAGGGAGCTAATAACGCAGGGGGTGGCCGGACACTAATCTTGTGGCACTATAGGACGGTCCCTACATAGGATGTCGTCCTACCGGCAGGACCGTTACAAGGTCAAGAATTCACGTTCGTGTAAGATAGTGAGGATGCGGTCGAATATGCTTTTGGGCGATGGTTTGATGGTCCTATGGCGAAAGAGCTGTTCCATCCTGCCGAGCCTTTTTTTCAATGGGAGCGTGACAAGGCATCATCACTCGGAGTGCGTAAGATGGTGAAACATTTGACAAGAAACGACTCACATAAACCGTCATTGAATCACGCAAGAAAGCGCCGTTGAGGGTTCGCTGGGGGGTTGCACAACAGAGCATCAGATGGCTTGATTGAGGGACCAGACTTCAGGCTCAGATGAGGGACATACTGCGGTCCAGTTAGAGCAAATGGTAGTGAGCCCTATCCTCTTGTGGACAGGTTCGAATCGGAAATATTCGCCGTAGTAGTGACGGAACTTAATCCCGGGTATGTGATGCGAACACTAGAAATATGCTTCTCTTCGTGGATCTTTGTTTACATCCTCAATTCAATAACACGTAATATGACGCAAAAATAAACGCTGATTTATTCTTATGAAGCGAGCTAGGAGTGAATAAAACGCATTTAAAGTGACTATGCCATGCCCTAACAACTTCGAATGAGTGATATCCAGTCTCAACGTCCACCGGTATCATCAGTTTGCCTCTTTATCAGTAGCAAAAGTACTCCTTTGATATTCCAATTCATGTATTCGTTTTCTGCAAGTGAAGCTTTGATGTCCCACAAGAGTGCTGCCCTAAAGGTCTTAAGGCGAGAGGTGCTTCCACCCGATGGTGCGTACGACATTCACCCTTCCCCGGCCAGGAAGTCATGTTTCGACTTAAGCAAGTTACTGACGGAAATAAAGCTGACAACAAATAGTGATTGCGCGGCATCAGCACAGAGCACCGCAACATTCGGATTCGTTTTGCGTTTGCACTATGAAAGGGTACAGATATAGGGGTTATCTTCCGATGGAGATCATTTTTATGGTGGTAGAGAATCTCGACCCCCATACCCAAATATCACTCTTGACTGTATTCCCTACACTCATAGGAGGGTTTACATTTCGACACACAAGTATTCAAAACGACGAGGGAAATACAATTTTACACTTACTTGCGGAGAGCACTGAGGAGAAGCTGATCAAAAGACTGCTATCAAAGAGAAACATTCCACCAGACGCGAAGAATAATAAGGGTCAAACGCCACTATTGTACGCAGCTCAGTATGGAAATAAATGTATGGCGATACTACTAGCAGAGAGAAATGATGTCACAGCGGACTCAAAAGATCATTACAATCGGACTGCTTTATCATGGGCAGCGACTCGTGGGCATGAAAACATCGTGAAAATGTTGATGGAGCGAGATGACGTCAAAGCAGACTCAAGAGACGATTACGGACAGACACCCTTGACATGTGCAGCTTTCCAAGGACACGCAAGAGTGGCCAATCTGCTGGTGAATCGCTATGATGTTGATGCTGACTCAAAAGATAATGTCGGTCGCACGTCTTTATTATTGGCCGCAGCACGTGGGCATGAAGATGTCGTCAAACTATTGCTGGAGCGAGATGACGTCAGAGCGGACTCGAGAGATAACTATGGACGTACAGCACTAACGTACGCAGCTTTACAAGGAGAGGCGGGGGTGGTGGCTCTACTAGTGAAACGGAATGATATTGACGCTGACTTGATGGAAAACAACGGCCGCACACCTTTATCGCGGGCCGCTGCCCTTGGACATGAAGATGTCGTCAAACTGTTGCTGGAGCGAGATGACGTCAGAGCGGACTCGAGAGATAACTATGGACGTACAGCACTAGCGTACGCAGCTTTACAAGGAGAGGCGGGGGTGGTGGCTCTACTAGTGAAACGAAATGATGTTGACGCTGACTTGATGGACAACAACGGCCGCACACCTTTATCGTGGGCCGCCGAGCGTGGGCATGAAGATGTCGTCAAATTGTTGCTAGAGCAAGATGACGTCAGAGCGGACTCAAAAGACAATGATGGCCGGACAGCAATAGCGTACGCGGCGTTGCACGGAAACGCAGAAGTGGTGAAGCTGCTAGAGAAGCAGAATGACGTTGAGCCCGACTCGAAGGATAGCGATGGCGGCACAGCCATATCATGGGCCGCCGCGCGTGGCTCTTTACGTTTGACAAGGAGAGGATCTTGGGTAGATTGATATCTTATGGGATAAGCAGTGCAATTGTTAGTTGGAATCTAGTTCACTTCAGATATTTGTCACTCACATGGTATAAGTACAGTGTGTGTGTGCGTATCATTTATCCTGACCCCTCGCAATGACCTTGAAACTCTGAACTGAGGGTTTTTTTTCGAGTTCAGGTACTGCATACCTCCACAGTCTTACGACTTGATTCCCGGGAAGGGAATCCGCCACGTACGAGTCTTGATTGGATAAGATCGCTAACTACCGCTTTTAGGAAGTAGTTTTATTGGGGTCACCTCACAATGCCCTCCCTCACGTGATATCTACACCGACATTACTGAGGGCCTCTTCCTCGACCAACTGCCTAACGAGAGTCAGTTGCTCGCCTCTGCTGGTAGCTCGTCATCTCTCACGCAGTCAAGTCTCAATTTTGTCCCTTCCGCCTTCCCTCTGTATATAGAATCCACTACAATACAGACACATTGCCTCCCTACAAGGGAGCGCGGACGGGGCCATATCTGACGCTACGGTCTATGACCGCAGCGACAGGTGACCCGTTATGGCCAAACTACACTCTTCTTGCTTCTCTTGACTGCGTGAGGTCACCAATAAATAACACTCTATTTGATGGCCATGAGGAACTGGCAACACGAATCCCTATTCTTTTCTCAAATTTCATCTTCCTTCATAATCGATATTAGATTTTTAGACTACAAGCTCTAGCAGACTTGGGCCTCGTACAAGGCTGTGTCCGACTATTTGTACTGTATTGCCGGGACCTTGAAGCTGGAAATATCTATGCTGGCTTCAATCAAGACAAATTTTGGCTTCATTAGGCCAAAAGAGACCTTGACAGCCTCATTCTCGTCCTCAGAGGAGTCGCAATTTATTAAGTATCCATGCGCGTTTTGCACCCTTCGTAGTGGCCCCGTTCTCTTTGAGGTATGATCTGGTAGCTTCGAGATCCTTGTATTGAGGACTACCAGCATTGATCAACCATGTAAGCGGCGAGCAGTATATATCATCCAGGGAATTGACCTTGGCACCGTTCTTCAGCAGAATTCTGGTGGCGCCGAGCGAGCCATACTCTGCGGCCCAAGAGAGAGGAGTTCGTTTATTATGATCAAGATCGTCGACAAGAGCACCGATGTACAGCAAATTTTGAAGAAGTGCGGTGCAATCTCCCATTGCAGCGAAATGGATGAGAGACTTTTTATATGGGCCTCTAGGGTTGCATATACCCCTGAGTTGGATCTCGTCGTGTGTTTTATCGAGGTAATTCATTATGTCTTTGTTCAATCGGTTCTCCCGTATATACTTCAGGAGCTCAAACTCTTTATCAATGATGCTTGTGGTAGTATGCGAAGCCATTTGAACTTGATTGTGCTGTATGGTGTCGACCCTGACGTTTAGCATGATATTGCAGACGGCACACAAACTGGGATCGAAAAATTATCAAGTTTTTATTTATAGCCTCTAAGATTTGAATCTTGGCATTCACCTGCTACTTTATGCTTTTTTATGCCTATCAGATTTCTGCCATATTAAAATAATATCCGATCCAAGGATGCTTAAACGAACTCTTCGGTTGTACGACCTGTACCCGAAGACTTCTTTTCCGCAGAATCTTGTTGCCGACTAATAAAGCATTCCTGGACGTTGCTGTAAAAGCCAAAAATCTTCCTACGTCGCAATTATAATGTAAAGGTGACACAGATCAATGTGGAAACAGTATTGCCTCCCAAAATATGAGTCGAGCATGATTGACTCCCGGGGTGGTAATTAGGTTAGAAGCCGATGCCGTAGAGGGCAGTGAAAATCAATGGAGAAATTCATTAGCAGGCCACATTAGGAGAATTCTAGGACCCGCAAAATCACCAGTCAAGATTTAGTTCCAGCAAGACCGCGAGCTCATCGGTATTAACGGAAATGCCATTCCCATGCGCCCCGCTTTGAGACACGCTGAGTCAACGCAATAACACCCAGTGCCGACGCTTACAGTAATCTGTTCAGAAGCGGAATTTCGATTACTACACTCTTGCGTCTTAACTTGATGAAACAAATGAGCCACAGGAATAAGGGACCGTATCGCTGGGAGAGTAAGTTCAAACTCTCAACGCGAAATTTACGACCTAGATTCGCGACCTAGCCTCTGGCTTCCCCTGACCTATCAATCGATGGAGACTTTCAGCGGTAAGAGCTTAAGATATACGAGGAGATACAGCATGTATAGGCTCTACACACACATAGAAGATTACGAAGACAGATTACCCCCCGAGAAACAAACCCTTAGTTTGCAAACCTCCCAAGCTACGATGTTCAGACAAAACATCCCGAAATATTTTTCTTGTTGGTTTGAACGACCTAGCCTTTTAGCAATACATTTCAAGTTTGCGATTATCAGGCCATCGCATGTCATGCGTGGATATCCCCCCTGAACTAGCACGTGCAGCAAGGCTCTGCAGAAGCGCAACTATCTCGATGCTCCCTCTTTTCCTAGCTTGGTTCAGGGGAGACACGCCATCATTGTCTGGAATCTCGCGCTCCAGATCTGGCAGCTGCGCCAGTTGAAGGATCAGTCTTTTGTTGCCAGTATTTGCTGCATGCCACAGTACCGAGCGGCCTCTCTGGTCTCGCTCATTCACCAGAGTCTTCCAACTTGAAAGTAAAAGATCTATGATCTCGTCTCTCTTGGGGTTCTGGCCGCCGTATGCCATGGTAGCTAGAAGAAGTGCGCTATTCCCCGCGGAATCGAGATGGTTGACGTCAATGCGTTTGTGATTCAACAGGATTTGTATTGCAGCGGGGTCTTCATATATAACAGCCAGATGAAGTGCGGTGTATCCTCGGTTGTATCGAGTGTTGATATTGAGTCGCGGGTCTTTCAGAAGAATCCTCAAAATCTCGTGTTGTTGATATTCGAGGGCTGTCAGGATTGGAGGTTGGGCTTTCGAACCCCCAGCATTGATATTAATATCATGTTGACAAAGTAACTTTCGGACGTTTGACAGTTTTCCTTGCATGATAGCAAAGGACAGGGCGGCTTGTGCCCATTGGTTGGAGGAAGAGATATCTAGAGACTTGTCGCATGGAAATGGACCAACTAGACCAGAAGATCCCTGGAGGGCTGATATCATCAGACGGGTCAGCTCTCTTTGGTCGTACTTATAATTGTATGTGTGGTAGTGACTCACGAATGACAGGTGGGAGGTGGGCCATATAATCGAAAAGGATGGGATTATCTCGCTATTTTGGTATCTCGATTTTCGCGATGTGGAGAAGAGAGAACTTGTTGCGCTATCATCACAAATACATGCAGGGCAGTATTTATAACGAGACTTTGTTGCGAGCAGCTTTGATCTCGAGAATATTTGATCTGAATTCACATATTTGTATGCGTGAGCTCCCATAGTTGGGCTAATCCGATTGCCGGTTTATTGAGAGTTCATCAAATAATATTATGGATCTCTGAAGTCCTCAGAAGAGACTGATTCCGAGGAACAAGCGTTCTGCTCCTAGGAATCTAGCTGTCAAGGGCTAACATATCTTTAGATCCGGATTTTATTTTTCAGAGCGTTAACAGCCAAAAATAGGAAACCACAAGCTGACCTTAGACACAAGGCTTAGCGCGAGCAATCAGGAGAAAAATTAGCTTCCTCGTGTTTAGAGTACCACATATGAGCCATGTGGGACCGTACCCTGCACAAATCGTGTATACTGCATGCCAGTCCCTGTCACATTATTAACATAGTTCCCAGGAGCTTGATCTAAATATTGCCTTATGCAAGCTCAAAGCTGATGGTAAGGCAAATATTCTACGGGTAAAGAGTGACGATTCGCCTCCTCCTTGGATACTTTAAAGCTCTCCTGGCGTTCAATGAAGCGTCGCCTTATTTGGTGATCTTTATCTCGCCATCGACGCCCTCTTCTCACCGTGACACATCTATTTCAATTTCGTTTGTCATGGCTTCCGAACTATCCTTCCAAGCACTGCTGATCACGATGCTTCTATTTGCTTTGATTGCCAGGCTACTTCTCTTGTGGGTGTTCGGAGATAGTTGGCCACTTCATAAGATGGACTTGGCGCTATACGTCCTATCCTTTCTCCTGTCCACTGTACTGGCAGGGCTGTTCTGGGGCGAGAAGCAATCTATATGGATAAGAATCCTTCTTGGAATTCTTTCCACAATTCCTTCGATGCAAAATGTTCGTTGTAGCTTGAGAAAAGCCAGTTCTATGCTAATACTAGCCTAGTTTCTCCGCATCGGTTTTCAGCAGCTCAATAATCCATTCATAAAACCATCGACGCGTGTCGCATTCAGAATTTATCCTTTGACGTCTACGGTTTCGAAGATAATAATTACATTCATTGGGACATTCATGCGCGATGACATTCATTTCATTACTCCCTTCTTACTTTTCTTGGATCATCTCAGTGAAATTGCATGGTGCCTATGGTTAGTAAAAGGTGCCACGCAGGGTCGGAAGAAGCTACATGTTATTTTGACCCATTTATCAAACATGGGTCTTATATTGCTAGGAGCCGCTATCCTTGGCGCGATTTCAAGAAATTGGGAAATTGTGCTTGAGGTATTTTTCCATCATGAAAGCTTACACTATGAGAGAGCTGACACAGATTAGTTCCAGCTTATCATTTGTACAATGCGGACGATATACAGCCAGTCTATTACGTAAAGTGCAATGAATGGCTTTATGTATATTGGCTGAACCAAATTAGGCCATTCCGAAGGATCAGGAAGTTGTCAATGATGAATCAATCATATCATTGACTCCAGTGGAAAGGGTTTGCAAGTGGAGAATGGGTGTCAGATGGCTGTAAAGCTTGGTCGTAGCTTTTTCATGTAGGCTAGATTTACACCACAAAAGAATGATTGTACATTAAGGGGCCTGGTGAAAGACAATCTATGGAGAGCTGCGATCCTACAATGCCAGCCCGCTTAGCTCCATTTCCTTTTTTTAGCTTGACACAGGGGATGTTTATAACTTCACATGACAACAATATCACGGTCGAACACAGCAGTGGTTATATAGCTCTTGTGCTGAAGCCATCTGTCAATCCACGAAATTTCTAAAAGCCTAAGAAAAGAAGATTGGTACTTTAAGATCAGGTTGGAGAACAAGGGAATATATCGTGAGATGAGGCTGTACAGATCAGGAAGCAAGCCGCACCATCGGAATTAGCTCCGAGATGTCTATACAGACAATCAACTTGGCTCCAGATCACAGGATTCCGGCCTTAGGCGTCTATGGACATTCATGGCTCTGATTGGCTTATAACTCTTTGCAGCGGTACCCAAATTCACATATGCACTCAGTTCCCGGGAATTCGATGTGGGTATTGCTGACGGGCTATCCAATTACGGTAGGTGTGATGGTAGGGTCAGGCTCCCAGGAGTTCATAGCTAAATTTAGACCAATCATTTCTACGGAGGCTTTGTGGATAATTTGGACTAATCATGGCACCTATTGGCTCATCATTCGTCCGCTCTATTGGTGGTATCCAATTATAGCATTTTAATTGACGACCCACAGGCTCCTGGGAGCCAAGACCAATTATGAGCCAATTATCTCAAAGACGACTTGTGAGCATGTGGGCCATCGATGGCACTAATTGGCTTATATTGTCCGAGTACCCACCCGCCTCCGCTTCGTTCCCAGGACATTAATGTGGGTATTGCCATACCCAAAGACGAGACTGATCGCAAAGGTTTGTTCTACAGAATTGTAATTGACATATAATCTGACTCACTAAACAAGAGACTCCGTTGTGAGATGGGGCTGTATGGATCAGTCCCGCGCCCCACTAACGTGGTCAACCACCGAGTGGGCCACCCATCTCCACAGACGCGTCGCGTGTCGCAATCCCCCTTTTACAACCACCACCATGCCTCCAATTCGCCATGAAAGACGCCAAAAATTGGTGGAACAAGAGGGCAGGCTTGAATTTGCTATTAAGGCCCTAAAAGACCAAAAAATTACGTCGATTCGCGAAGCTGCACGCATTTTTGGTGTACCGCGCACAACGTTACAAGGGCGGCTGAATGGCAATACCCATCGACCAATTACTCGCCCAAATTCAATGAAATTGACTCCAATCGAGGAGGATTCATTAGAAGATTGGATATTGGACCTTGATTCGCGTGGAAAAGCCCCTACCTATAGAATGGTAGCAGATATGGCCAATATATTGCTTGCGGAACGGCATACTACTACCGTTGGCCAAAACTGGGCGTACAAATACGTCAAACGTCGAGAGGCTCTCAAAACCCGATTTTCACGCCGATATAATGCACAACGTGCGTTATGTGAGGATCCAGAGGTCATAAAGGAATGGTTCCTGCAATATGCCAAAAAGATTGCCGAATATGGTATTCTTGATGATGATATCTACAATTTTGATGAAACTGGTTTTGCAATGGGGATTACCAGTACTTCAAAGGTTGTAACTGGCAGAGACTATCATGGCAAGCGAAAACTCCTACAGCCTGGTAACCGAGAGTGGGTAACTGCAATTGAGTGCATCAATATGAACGAGGTTCTACCCCCAACCATTATTTTCAAAGCCAAGAACTTAATGACAGGCTGGTTCAATACTATCCCTGAAGACTGGCGGTTTGAGGTCAGCGATAATGGATGGACAACTGATCAAATAGGCCTCTCATGGCTTGAAGATTGCTTCATTCCGTATGTCAAACGAAGGCAACGTGGTGCCTACTCACTCTTGGTGATGGATGGCCATGGGAGTCATCTTACTCCTAAATTTGATGAGATTTGTATGGCAAATAATATTATTACAATTTGTATGCCTGCACACTCATCCCATCTATTACAACCATTAGATGTTGGTTGTTTTGGCATATTGAAGCACTTTTATGGCCAGTATGTGCAAGATATGGCCCGATTGGGTACTACACATATTGATAAGTTTGACTTTCTGGATATATACCCTAAAGCACGTGCAGCAACCTATAAAACCTCTGTTATTATAGCAAGCTTTACAGGCTCAGGTATTATACCCTATTCGCCTGAGAGAGTACTACAAAAACTAGATATACGCCCTACAACGCCTACACCACCACCACCATCACGCGGTAGCAATAGCAGCAATGATTTTATACCACATACACCATGCAAATCGGTCAATTTCAGACGGCAAATAGCTTCAATTAATCACTTAATTGAAGAGCAATCAGTTACAAATACCGATATACAACAGCAATTGGAGCAGGTTAGCAAGGGTGCACAAAAACTTGCAAATAACCATGCTATTCTAAAGGCCAATATGACTCGTGTGATGGCTGAGAATGGGCGGAAACAGCGCAAGAATACTATAAATAGTGTTCAAATTGCCTACGAGGGCGGTATTACTGTGGAGGATATGCAAATTCGTCTACAATTGGTAAATGAAACCAATATCGCGACACCATGGCACCCGCGCGCGCAGCAGGATCGGCGAATGAGAGGCCACCACAACGTTGTGGTAATTGTAGGGAAGTAGGGCATGAGCGAAATAGGTGCCCGCTTAATAATAACGCCTAGTTTTTGCAATTTAATTGGTGTTGGTGGCTTTTTTCATACAAAACGTAGTGGTTATGGGAATAGGTGGCCCACTCGGTGGTGTGGCCCACTCGGTAGTTGACCACGTTACTGGTTGCTTTTGGAGCTCAGCGAGATTGATTGAGTTGTTTTTATTTCAGAGGGGATACATGAAGCTATACAGTCAACTCTCGAAGGCTGTATTATCCACAGAGGGATGGACGTAGACATGATATGTAGAAAGGGGTGAAGGAAATGACAATAAATCATACTTGAGCACATCAATCTTTGATCAATCACCTTACCGAGACGTGGCACCTGGTTGACTACGCCAGTTTCCGCCTGCTGAAACAGGCGGGAGAGGAGGTGGTCCATTAGGGGAAGCGGTGCGTAAGGGCAACATCGCGGAGTGCAGGTTTGTGCGGGAATTGGTGTTGTTGGAGCTCGCGGAGCATCGACTCATGAATGGGCGGGATGGGGCATCAACCGCAGAAGTGGGATCACCGAGGTGCTGGCGCATCTGGCGGTGACCGGAGCGGATATCGTCGTCATCGTTGGTTTCCAGTAAGAGGTGCTCCAGGGAGGGAGGGGGCGGAGAATGCGTGGAGCGAGACGATGAGTAATAGGGAGAGAACTGAGGCTGGGGCTGGGCCTGAGAATTATAGGATGGGGAGTTGGAAAAATCGTTGGCAATCTTTAGAGAAATGTCGCCTGAGTTTGAGGTATATGGTGACTGCTGCGGAGTGTGGCTTGACTTGCTGATAGGAGGGTGCTTGCAAATTGTCGCTGATGTGGGCCTACGACAGGAGATGAGGCTGAGTTCGAGGTTGGTGTCTGGGCGTCACGGAGCGATTTTGGTGCTGGTGGCCCGAGATAGGTCTTGCGGTTGTGTTGGTCTTTCATAGTGCCCAACCCCCAAGGTCAACGGGCGTCCGCGTAGCGACTTGCAAGGAGCGTCCTTATCCTGGGAGTTTGGAACTGTTTGATTTTGCCGTCAAAAAGTTCAACTTACATATAGTTCACGTGGCGTCGACCGCTCTTCAGCTTTCTTCAATAAACACTTGCCAAAAAAATTTAGGCAGAATAGGTGGGAAAGCATCGTTATTGGGCAGCTTGGGCGCTGTTTCGTGGACGATTTGGGAACTTTCCATCCAATAGCTAGCTCCGTGACTGTCAGGCCCACACTCTCCACACGTCGGAACGAACCGTGTAGGCTCCGTCCTGAATTCGCTCGGGGGCCATGTAGGTGGAAGTGCCAACAAATGTATCGGCAAAGGAGTCGACGGTCTCAGTAGCGACACCGAAATCACCAAGCTTGATGTTGCCGCGGGAGTTGACCAAAATATTGGAGGGTTCCATATCACGGTGCATGATGCGGTGGGCCTCGTAGAGGTAGACAACACCAACCAGGACAGACTCGGTGATTTTTTCTACTATATCGACTCGCACAGGACCGAAATCTTCGGAAACGCGATCAAGAGCTATCGTGGCATGTTAACTATGTCCTCACCGATTTCCCCGCCGATTGAATTACCCGAGATCCATGTATTCCATTCACAGCACAATATCTCTCCCTTCATTCTGGAATGCACCGTAAAAGATGACAATATTGGGACAGTTGCAGTCATGTCCCACTCGGAGTTCTCGTAGAATCTGTTTCCGCACGTTTTCTTTGGCCTCGACACGGATAATCTAATGCGGAGGGAATGCGAAATCAGCATTGATTGATAAAGAGCAAATGAAAGAGCAAACCAGAAGATTTTTACGTACCTTTCAAGCCACCACCACCTTGGTGGATACGTGCATCAACTTAGACACGGTATCCTCATTTCCCAGCCCCGAGTTCCTTCAACGAGACCAAGTCCTCACTGCGAAGATCGAGGCGGAACTCCAAGCCAATCTCGAGGGTGTCTGTACTGCTGCTCTCGCTGTTCCCGATGCCTCCAGGGACCTGAGCATCGCCCTCGGACGCAGCGAGCTTAGGGCCGCGTTGAGGTCAAGACCTTTGACGTTATTGCGTTTCAAAGTCCGGACCTTAAACGGGTCGGCCATGGTAGGAGTTGCGTAATTCAGATATCTGAAAGATCAGGGCCGTTATGTGAAGACAGCAGTTGAGTTTGATAGGAGCCTTTGTCTTTATTTTCCTGTCTCGACGCGAAAACCATACCCTGTGTTTCCTGAAGTTTATTCAAGAGCCCGAGGCCGCTTCAATCATTCCACGTCCTCCAAATCAATAACAACCAAACGCCCACTTGGGTATCCCATAACATATTACGCCACTCACCGTCGCTGTGGAAAAACCATACGACCGGAGCACGGTCAAAGCCTTGTCGCGTTTTGGTTGAAGCTGGAATTTCCATTGTTGATGAAAGGCGAGATGTATCAGTTCTGGCGACGAAAGACTCACGAGCACATGACGGATGCCGCCAAAGCTGAGATACTCGCTCCGGCAAAACCGCCACATTCCTTCGCCGCTAAGCGGCTTCACTCGAGCAAAAATACTATGAAATGATGGATAAGCCAAAAGTTACTCTCGTGGACATTAGAAGCAACCCAGTCACGCGTCTTGTATGCAATGACATCGTCCTTGCGGATGTGACTGTTCACGGAGCAGAAGATTTCGCCCTAGCGACGGGCTTCGATGCTGCCACGGGTGGATTCAAGGATATAGATATCACTAGGCTTGGAGGACTTACACTTCAGGAACGATGGAGCGACGGGACACATGCGTATTTGGGCATGGCGGTTTCGGAATTCCCAAATTTATTCTATACTTAAGGACCATTCTTACCTTCGGCGTATGCCAATGGACCGGTTGTTGCCGAGTCGCAGGCAGATTGGATTGTCTCTGTGATGAGGAAGATGAGAGACGAGGGACACACCCGGATTGATCCTACCCAACAGTCAGAGCGCGAATGGAAGGCGAAAGTGTTTGCTATTCATGCTATGAGGCTTCGCGACAATATCGAACGGAGCTGCTATTTGGGGTAAGTTAAGCCTTTCCGTCTTCTATGTGTATCATGCTGACACACGCTTAGCCTTAATTTACCTGGGGAACAGCGCGAGCCTCTTAAGTTTGCTGATGGGATCCCTATATATCGGCAAGTAATTCAAGACGCTATTGTGCCGGATTGGAAAGGATTTAAGTTGAGCTAGGAAATGTCCTTTTGACGACGGAATATCTCTATATGTTGATAGCTCATACTCTACCTACTGAGTGCGGAATTTTCTGCCTTCTATTCAGAGTGGGAACATCTAACACCGGCAATTCCGAACTTGATACCAATGATTTAGTGGTTGAATACAATAAAGTATATATATGCATTTGTCCTTCAGTCTATCTCAAACGCCCTACCACGGGATCTCAGCTCCATCATACTGGTGGAGACCCTCAACGTTTTCCATCCCCGGGATGAGAAGTTTCAGGAACTTTCCATTGATTTCCACTGCATGCTTGTCTAGAATATCAAGGATTGCCTTGATACTGGTGTCAACTTCAAGTTGCGCCCATTGGCTTCCCATGTCAGTTTTAACCCACTTTGTCCAAAGTTAGTAGAAGTTAAAGATAATATAAACTTGAGAAACGTACACCAGGACAAACCGCGAAGAACGCAAATCCCTCTTCCTCATACTGGATAGCATACTGCGCAGTTAGACTGTTTAATGCAGCCTTAGAAATCTTGTATGCAGGATACGTTGCCTGGGCAAACTTGCGAGTATTCGAAATGGCGCCTACACTCGAACCCCTATAAATATATCTAGTTAAGGATAATTGTCTGTATGATTAAGGAGTAATCAAACTTACAAGTTTAAGACTTTCTTCTGGTTTCCTTTTTTTATTAATGGGAGGAAAGCAGATGTGACGTCTTGAACAGTTTCGACATTGACTTGGATTACCTCCAGCAGGTTGTCCATGGCGGCAATGCCCTCCGGGGTGGCGGGCATGATGCCCGCGTTGTTGATGAGGACGTCCAGACCCCGGTCGGCAAGTTTGTCCTTTACCTGCTCCACTGCCGTGGTAATGCTGCTCTTGTTCGACACTGCCATGTGAAGAACTATGACGCGACCGTTTGATTCATCTGCGAGCGTTTGGAGTGCTTTGCTGGGCGAGCCGCGGATTGCGGCAAAGACGATAGAGACCTTCTCTGCGGGCTGCTGGCTGAGTTGTCGGACGAACTCGAGGCCGAGGCCTCGTCCGGCTCCTGTCACCAAGTATGAAGACATGATATGTGGGCAGTATGTAATCAAATGTGCTGAATATATAGCAGTGCTAAGTGCGTAGTTATGTTTGAAAGACTTTGACCTTGAACCTCAGATTGTTCGTTTCAAAGTTGAAATGATTAATGGGCTTTGGTGGGAGTGGAGGGATCCAGCGGCCAAGAAGCCCCTACACCTAGACCTATATGGGATAGGGTCCTATTGGGTCCTGTGGGATCATCCAGGGCGAACCGAAAAATTTCCTGTTCCTCGGGGGATCCCGTTAACCCCAAATCCCGTTAACCCCGAGCTCCACATGACCCTAATCACCCTAGCTGCCGATGACAAATTACTCATTATAAATCAATCTCTCGGGGTTCGTTATCTTGAGATTGACAAGGTCTATAGGACTATGAGATTCTTGTCCTTTCTTTTACTTTCTTGATATTACTTTTCACTTAACTTTATCACTTCAATGCAGCCCTTTCTTGATTAATTGGAATTTCCACTCCATTAGTAGACAGCAATACTTTCTAGCAATCACTTCACCCATTATGACCAGGCTTTTCACCCCTTTGCGCGTTGGAGGCATGGAGCTTTCTAACCGCATTGCCATGGCCCCCATGACCCGCTTTCGCGTCAATGATCACCATGTCCCTCTCCCTATCGTCACGGAGTACTACGCCCAGCGTGCTTCCGTGCCAGGAACTCTCCTCGTTACCGAAGGAACCATCATTACTCCTCAAGCAGGCGGTTATGCCAACGTGCCCGGTATCTGGAACGACGCCCAAGTTACCGCCTGGAAGGAAGTCGCGGACGCTGTGCACGCGAAAGGCTCTTACATCTACATGCAGCTTTGGGCGCTGGGCCGTGTAGCGAGCGCTGACATGCTCAAAGCCTCCGGCTTCGACCTCGTCGCTCCTAGTGATGTACCAACCTCTTCAGAGGCGCCATCCCCACGTCCCCTAAACGAGGACGAAATCCAGTCATACATCCATCACTTTGTGCAGGCCGCTCGCAATGCTATTGCTGCGGGCTTCGATGGTGTTGAGATTCACGGCGCCAATGGCTACCTCATTGACCAGTTCATACAGGATGTCACCAACAAGCGAACTGATCAGTGGGGTGGCAGTGTCGAGAACCGTGCCCGCTTTGCGCTTGAGGTGACCCGCGCCGTCGCCGACGCTGTTGGCGCGGACCGTACAGCTATCCGCTTCAGCCCTTACAGCAAATTTCAGGGTATGAAGATGAAGGACCCGCAGCCGCAATTTGCGTATTTGGCGCGCGAGCTAGCTCCCTTGAAGCTGGCGTATGTGCATTTGGTTGAGGGCCGACTTGAAGGTAGTGAGATTATTGAAACCACCGATGAGTTGCACTTTTTCTTGGATGCGTATCGGGGTGCTGGGTCAGTGATGGTAGCTGGTGGATATGAGCCTGAATTGGCGAGGGAGGCAGTGGATCACAAGTACAAGGATCACGATGTGATTGTTGCGTTTGGTCGGCCGTTTACCTCGAACCCGGATCTGCCATTCCGAATCAAAGAGAATGTGGCTCTCGTGCCACACGACAGAAATGTGTTATATCTTCCTAAAGACCCAAAGGGGTATAATGATTGGGAGTTTAGCGCTGAATTTACCAAGGCTGTGCAGATTGCAGCTTGATTCAACTCAGGTTAAATGCTCCTGGACACGGGTCTTGCCTAACGCATTTGATTTCAATCTCAATTATAGCCGACTAATTGGATATGTGAAGAACTCTGTATTTCATTGCACCTATTGTCTTATTTCTGAACTTTACTAGACAGTGGGACATTCGCTGCGGATGGCCCGTGAGAGTGGGGCTAGTTTTGAAGCATAATTTATGAGGAATACGCTATATTCTTTGTACTATAGCTGTTAAATATAAATATAAATACAGTCAAAAATACAGATAATACTTTTGAGAAATAGGAAAAAATTTATAAAATTAACAGTTATTTAATAACTTTGAAAGTAATTGGCTGGCCAGTAGGCTTCCTTGCCCGTCCAGAAGTGCGTAGTGAAGTCATGAAAAGGCTGGCCGGCGCTAGATGACCCCATAATGTTACACTCTCTAAAAGACAAGACCTTGCAGATGACTTATTTGGTAATTGATGCTCTAGATCAGTGTACATATAAGCTTCATTCCCTTCTAGATTTGATTGTCCAGGAGTCATCGGTCCACAGACAGATAAATTGGATTGTCTCTAGCCGAAATTGGCCTGAAATTACCGAGCGTCTTGATATTGCAACCCAAGTAGCTCCCATCCCATTAGAGCTAAATGATGTATCCGTGTCCGAAGCTGTGAATATATTCAATCAACACAAGGTTGATGCTTTAGCAAAGGTTAAAAGATATAAAGACAGAATCTGTGATAGGATTTGCCATCATTTGTTGCTAAACTCTCAAGATACTTTTCTATGGGTAGCTTTGTGGTCTGCCAAAACCTTGATGGAACACCATCAAGGCACGCTATCAATATGCTAGAAGCATTCCCTCCCGGACTGAATGCTCTGTATAGCCGAATGATTGATCAGGTTCGCCGGTCATTAGATGCCGAGCTTTGCAAGCAGATACTAGCTATTATGTCAACAGTTTTTCGACCTATTACGGTTAGCGAACTAAGTTCACTCATTGAAGTGCCAGATGACGACTGTTATGAGCAGGAATTCCTCTCCGAGATTATCGCAGTTTGTGGCTCATTTCTGACGTTACGCGAAGATACTATAACATTTGTCTATTAGTCTGCAAAGGATTTTCTACTCTAGGAAGCTGTAAATGTATTTCCTAAAGGTATCGGAGATGAGCACTATATGATTTTCTCACGTTCCCTCGAAGTTATGTTCAAGGCACTTCAACATTATATCTTCAAAATCAAATTACCTGGACTACCTGCGAAGGATATCTGCAAACCTAGCCCAAATCCACTAGCAGCAGCAGAATACGCGTGTTTCTACTGGGTAGACCATCTGCAAGGGAGCAAGCGTTATAGAGCTCCCGAGCTAAGCATTTATGACAAGGGTCGCGTGGATACGTTTCTACAGCAGAAGTTTCTTCACTGGCTTGAAGCCCTTAGTATCTTGGGAAGCGTGTCAGATGGTATCCAAGTGATGCAAAAGCTTGAAATTTGATTGAGGTAAGTGGCTATTTATGAAAAAAGATGGTCTTCTCTTCTGACAAAGGGCGCAATTTAGCAGGACAAGGAAGAATCGGAGGAACTATTCAATCAAGCTCGAGATACCTCTAAGTTTATACCAGTACGGTCAACTCGACCTCGCCTTCAACCACCACAGTATTTTAGAAGGCTCAGACTTTGAGGGTTAGTACAATTGATATTTGCAGTCCTTTAACCGTTTGTAAAATTTATATTATTTACGTGCTCGACGAAATATATTGCATTGAATTCTGGCATTTTTGGCCGGGATGACCGAAATAGATTATGTAATCAAAAAGTCCCGAGTTGTCCTCAAAACTAAATGTCAGGATAAGGAATTGATGTACTGGCTAGTACTGAACATGTCCCATAGAAACATATGATTGATTGATTAAAGATCAGAGTGGTTGAACACTCGTGAGAGTCTGTATCATCTAGTTTCGGTGTGTTACGACACCATACTCCGAGTCTACACCGAATACCACACGAATACGTGGGGAATTGGGCGGACGATGAACATCCCACCCAAAAGCGTCTTAGTGGTATTTGACCACTCTTTCCGCTCGACACTAAACCCTTTTAGGAAGTTGTCTTCAAAACTAAACCCCTTTAAGTTAAACGCAAAGCAATCCCCTTAATGTGATAGATCTGAAGATAGTGGTAACACCTTTTACGACCCCTATTTTGGGTTTCTAGAAAGCAATCCTCCTCTTCACTCTTCTGTTCGGTTCGGGCTTATGATCAAGCTCTACTTACATTATTATGGCAACACTAGCCTGTGATCCTTTTCGGCCAAGAGGCCAACGTCAAAAATATGGATCTGTTCAAGAGAGAAAAGCGTCCAAGATAGCCCAACAGCGGGAGAAGCGTCAGGCTACCCGCGCTGCTCAACGCGCCCAACAATTTGATCAGTACTACTCCATAGAGACGCCTCTATACACTGATACCAGTGAAACTCCATCAATCTCCTTCCCTCCAGGGGTACCCTCTATTGCTACTGAGCTTGAGCAGCTTCTTCCCCCTCTCAGCCCAGCCTTAGGACCATGGGAACTATCGACTCCTGATGTCCTACAAGGTAATGAACCAACAGCAGAAGGCGTACATGATGTGGTTGACGAGCCTGGTATCATGGCCCCACTTGAAAATACAGAAAACGACGCGAACACAGTCAGCCAATTACCAAGGATGACGGAAAGTCTGGTCCAGGCGACTGAATCATTTACGGAACCAGACCCTGGGGACTCAGAAATCCTTATAGCCAACCTAGCTAGTAATTCTCACGACCTTGCCCGACTTCTTACTGACCAACTCCAACACCACCATGGCTGCTGTCACCAGTGTCATACGCAACAGGAGAGTGAGCATTAAATGCAGCATACAGAGCATCTTGGGCTAGGAGAGTATATGGAACGGCTTCAGGCAGATGGTGGATATCTAGATGTCTTGAGTGCCGCGACAATGGCTAAACGTGAGGACAACCTAGCGGGACAGACCAGCGCAGACCGAAAACGGGAGATCTATACTGGGATCAATTTAGCCATGCCTGACGCTGGTCCAGTGCACCTCTGCCTTGCTGCCGACCATGAGCCAGAACGCCCGACCGCGGTAACATTTGATATCGATAGTATCGTAGGATTTGCGTACAGCCTAGCAGTGGCTAAACTTGGAGTGCGGTGGAACTCAACTCAGATGCCTGTGTCTGATCTTCACTTAAGTCTACATCTTGACCCCCTTCCGCTTCAATATGTTGATAGTGACGGCCGCCCTCACCACGTCCGGCGGCCAGTGCATAAGATCCCACATTATACCTTTGGGCGGTTGGTCGGTTTTGAGGATATATCTCTTTACTTCCTGTTTCCACGACTGTATCGCGAGGACCAGCAGTCCAGCCGTCTCCGGGATGAAGACTTTCGTATTTGGATGGACCAGGTTCTTCTGCCGGCACTCTACCGGCACTATGACGGCTCCCTTGTCCAGTATTATCCTGCTAGCTTTGATCACAGCCGGATGAACGCTATGGCCCGGGGAGTTGAGATGCGCTCGCAGCGAGTGGACCCAGTCGCTCGGCAGCAGCTTCTATTCTATTTTTCTCCCACCAAATACACTCGCGCTTGTGTGGGCAAGTATTCTAGAGACCATCGAGAATACTGGACTTCAGCAATTCTCGGGCGTGACTATCCTCGTCCAAGGCAAAAACTTGAAGACGTTGACCAAAGCCAACACGTGGGATGGTATGATGCAGGAGTTTGCCCAGCATTGGGGTAACACGATCGATGACTCTCATCTCTCCGATCAATTCTACGTCGACATCGGGAAAGAGACGTGTCCTACTGGGCCCTCACGGGTTGGTGGTGTGGGACTTCACGCATCGAGGTACCGTTCGGACACAGAGCCCCGTATAAACCTACTAGTGCCACAGACCATCCTCTAACGACGATGCTGCCTTGAATCGTATGCGGATTGGATCGGGCAGCAGCATCCTCCTGGATCCTTGCGTCCAAAGCAGCAGTTTTATCCGACCAGCCTGCTCCACGATACTGGCAGCCTCACATTGGAAACGCGTCGATCTTCCCCACAGCGGCAGGCGGGTTTTCTCTACACGCAGCTCTATTCAAGTGTGAAGGAGGTTTTTGCAGCGCGGGATGTGTACCCATTTTCCAACCCGGCCCTGGAAACCTTGGCACTCGATCCCCAGCTACGCAAGACATGGCAGCACGTCAGAGGTGGTCTCAGCCATGACCCTATCGCGTTAATACGGGCTTATCTGAATATGAAGCAGAGATGCCATGCTGCCTTGTAAGGATCATACATAAAAGTCTTCGGGCTTCGTGAGGAACATCGCGTCTCACTCCGCCTGTTCTATTCGATCGACCAGGAGCTTCGAGAGCGCAATCTCCACAACAGGCCACTTCCAGGGGTTCCATCAGAAGTTGAGCCGTTTTACTCTCTCCCTACCCCGACCCTTCTCTTTTGGTTCCACTAGAATATCAACAAGTTCTATGTGGGGTTTGAGACTGTCTATAGCATCAATGACCGCCATTTTATCACGTGGGAGCATACTCGGGCCATAATGATGTTCCTGCGCTGTCTACCGTTTTCCTACGCGGGTGGCCTATCCCACGGGGGTAAACGGGATGCGCCGCATCCGCTTTCCTAGGGTTGGCGCCAGTATGGCCCCCACCCCCCCCCCCCAGCACGGCGCATCCGGTTTGATTTCACGCCACAGCCGTTCGCGCACCGGTAGATCGATCTCCTCCTGAAATACACTAGCTACCGGTTGATAGTTGATTTAGAAGTCCTGTCAGTTTCGGGAACTTTCGAGCCGTTTCTGGGCGATCTTGGCGCAGGTCAAAATCTAGGGTTTTGTTGATAGGGTGCGACCGGGCCGCTCCTTCCCAGGGGTTAGGGTTTTCGGGGCACCACCGCTCTCCGATCTGATCTATCATATTTACCAGCACCGTATAATAGCTTGTAGGTTCTTAGGGTTTAAACTACTGTATGTATTTGGGTACCAATTGAGGGACCTTGTCGACTCGAGAGACTGCGTTGTGGTTGACATTACGGCGATATAAAACTGCGACGTTGTGTACCGAGCGGGAACTAACCCCTGACCGATGGCAGACCCACACGCGGGAGGGCCCGAGAGCCCTCCCACAAACACTCAAGAAACCACCAACGGCTTCACTAGGGAAGATCTCGCAGCCAGGACCACCGTCGAGAACCGGAAGCGAACCCGGAGTGGAGATGCCTTCGGTCCTTCGGATCCAGCCGGTCGAATCACCACCAAGGAGGTGTGGAAACTGATCGGCACACTAAAGGACGTCATCCACCACCAAACCGCGACCATCGCAGCAACCCAACAGGAACTCCAGGAGGTCAAGCACAACCAGCATGTCCTCCAGGAACAGAACGAGAAGCTACACGATGAGGTGAAGGCGCTGCGGACACAAATCGAGAGCAACCCTCCGGCGACAGCAACCAAGACCTGGGCCGCCGTCGCGGTGGAGGGCGGCAGTAGCACCTCCCTAGTGAACCCCCAACGACCCGAGAGAGACCAGGATTGCGTCCGGATCAGCACCCAGAGGACTTTTGTGGACCCACGAGACAACGATAACAGCGATGGAAACACGTTCGGACGATATCTCTCTATCGATGCCGCCAACAGTCATATTCGTACCGCGTTGCAGAGCGACACCGCGACCCAAGACGCCCAAGTAGCCGGCATTGGCACTACCAAAACCGGCTACATCATTCGATTCAAGAACACGGAGTCAGCCGAGATGGCCCGTAGCAATACGGAGTGGCTACACAAGCTGGGCAACAACACGAGGCTAGTGAAGCCACGATTCGGGGTCGTCGTACACCGGACCCCCACCGAGGAATTTGATATTGAGACAGGGGCCGCCCAGGCGGCGGAGAAAATCATCGCGGATAACGACCTAGCGGATCACAGCTTCCACATCGAGGAACTAGCTTGGATGAAAGCGAAGGATAAGGCTCTGGGGAAGTTCGCGTCGCTGGGAATCTGGTTCGATTCCCAAGAGGGGGTGGACTATATGCTTCGAAAAGGGTTCCTTGTCAGCGGACAACTCATCACCAGTGTTGAACGACGCGAAATCAAGAAGAAGCGGTGCTTCCGGTGCCAACGGTTCGGTCACCTAGCGTGGTCATGCAAGGAAACACCACGATGCGGACACTGCGCAGGACAACACGAGCGGGAGCGATGCCCGCCTGGAGTGAGAGCCCGATGCCTGGATTGCAGCCGTGAACACCCTAGGGCGATCGAGAGTGCCCAACACCATCGACCTCCAACCCTAGCAGATGCTAGAGAAGAATCTCCGCATCCTACAGTTGAACATGATGAAATCGGGACCGAGAATGGAGGCGCTGATCAATGATCCCCAGAGCCTAGAGCTGGACGTTCTGCTGATCCAGGAGCCATATATTACCACCTACCGCACGCATGTCAACCACAGCGCCTGGCGTTTATACCGACCTACGACTCAGACCGACGCCGTTCGGTTTCGCAGCTTGCTCTACGTCAATCGAAGAATTTCTACCTCATCGCACCGTCAACTACCGTGTGACCACCCAGATGTCGCGGCCATCAGGATCTGGACAGCCGACTCCCAAACGCTGGTATTTTCCATCTACATACCTCCAGTACCACTTTTCACGGGCGATGACTCGTCAGCATTGCCAACCCTTACGGCGATACAAAACTCCATCACAACCGCGACACAAAATGAGCAGCGCGCGACTAGCATCATTGTTTCTGGTGATTTCAACCGACACCATCCAATGTGGGGCAACAACTATATCGCTCCCAGATTCATTGAAGACGCCAGCGACCTGATCGATTTCTTCCAAGCCCACAACCTCCACAGTTGTCTCCCTCGAGGGACGGCGACTTACTGGGCACTCAACAACCCGGGACAAAACTCGACCATTGACCAGACGGCGACAGATAGCCCGGACTTGCTTGTCAAATGCCATCTGTATCACGAAAACTACGGATCCGACCACCGTGCCACCTATTCAGAATGGAACCTTCAACCCCAGAGCAGGCCAAACGCCAAAGCAAGGAAGGCGTATGAGCGCGCGGACTGGGCCAGAATCGGCGAGGAAGTAGCCCGACAGATGAGCCCAGGGAAGCAGATCAAGACCCGGCCAACACCCGACCGGGTAGTGGAAAACCTCACATCGGCGACGGCCCAGGCGGTCGACCGGTTCACACCTGACACACGCCCCACGCCATACTCCAAGCGATGGTTCACTCCAGATCTTAAGGTCCAACAAGTCGAAGTCAACCAACTGCGTAGGAGGTGGCAGGCAAGCTGCGCCGGGCTGGGAAGAGACCACGCTAGCACTACGGCTGCCTTCCAAGCTATGCAGCAGAAACGACGAGCGTGGACGCGGACCATCGAGAAAGCCAAGTCCTCACACTGGAAGCAGTTTCTAGACGAAGCGGGTGAAGGGAAGCTCTGGAAGGCTGCGACATACATGAAGCCCCGAGAGACATGGGATTGCGTCCCAGCACTGCGAGTGGGTTCGGAGGAGTGCACCCAAAACGAAGACAAAGCGAAGGTATTCCTGGATGCGTTCTTCCCCGCCATGAATACACCCGAGTTCAGCCCACCTACCACACCGGAGACGGAACTCCCGTGGCACCCGATCACTGAATCGGAGATTGAGCGATCACTGAAAGCAGCCAAAGGGAATACAGCGCCCGGGGAAGATACCTTACCGATGCTGGTTTGGAAGAAGCTTTGGAGGCATCTAAAGGCCTTTATTGTTAGCATCTTCACAGCGTGTGTAGAGCTAGGGCACCATCCGAGACAGTGGAGAAGCGCAAAAATCATCGTCCTACGGAAACCAGGCAAGCCGGATTACTCGTCACCCGGTGCCTACCGCCCAATCACACTTCTCAACACGCTCGGCAAGCTCCTAGAGGCAGTGATGGCCCGACGGTTGTCCTATCTTGCGGAGAAGCACGGCCTGCTACCGAACAGCCAGTTTGGCGGACGGCCGGGTAGGAACACCGAGCAAGCCCTACTGGTGCTGTCTAGTGCGATCGACAAAGCCTGGTACAAGCACAAGGTGGTGACCCTGGTCGCCTTCGACCTCAAAGGCGCCTTCAACGGAGTTAATAAGGCGAGCCTGGAGGCGTCTCTGCAGGCGAGACGGATCCCGATTGTGGCCAGAAAATGGATTGCAAGCTTTATGAGCGACCGGCACGCCAACATTGGGTCCGACGACTTCCGCACTAAGACTGCACTGCTGGTGAATGCTGGTCTAGCGCAAGGATCACCACTTTCCCCCATCTTGTTTGCATTCTTTAACGCCGACCTGGTCGACCAGCCCGTCGACTCACACGGAGGTGCATCGGCATTTATCGACGACTACTTCCGGTGGCGAGTGGGCCACTCGACCGAGGAGAACCTAGCCAAAATACAGTCCGAGGATGTCCCTCGCATTGAGGAATGGGCGCGACAAACCGGATCCTCTTTCGCAGCGGAGAAGACCGAGCTCATCCACATCACCAGAAAGAAGGGAGAGCACTTGAGAGGAAAGGTCAGCTTCGATGGAACCGACATCAAGCCGTCACCAACAGCCAAACTGTTGGGTGTGGTGTTCGACCAGGGACTCCGCTGGAAGGAACACGTCCAGCAAGCCATCAAACGCGCCACCAAAACGACTCTCGCTCTGAGTGGATTACGACACTTGCGCCCAGAGCAAATGCGTCAGCTCTACCAAACCTGTGTCACGCCCATCGTGGACTATGCATCGACGGTCTGGCATGACCCGCTTCGGGACAAAACTCACCTGCGTCAATTGAATACAGTCCAAAGAAGCGTGTTGATCCGGATCCTATCCGCTTTCCGAACAGTAGCAACATCAGCGCTAGAAGTGGAAGCCCATATACTTCCCACGCATCTCCGTCTTCGCCACCGAGCGCAGCGCACCATAGCGAGACTACATACTCTACCCCGGGACCACCCCATTTGGGGCGCACTGGCGCGTGCCCAGAATCGTAGAAACAACGTGGGATCCTACGCACGCTTCCCCTTTGCGGAAGCGTTAAAAACCATGGAAGTCGACAGGCTTAATGAGTTAGAAACGATCGACCCACGCCCGCTGCCGCGCTGGCGAGCGGACTCCTTCACAGACATCGAACTGGAGCACGACCGGGAAATGGCGAGAGGAAGAGCAGAGTCCGCAAAAGACACGTCTGATATTGTGGTCTACTCGGACGCCTCCGGGCGTGAGGAGCATCTAGGAGCGGCCATCGTCACACTCAACGACAATGGAGAAGTGTTAGAAGCCCAACAGATCCAAGTGGGTCCGATGGAACGCTGGTCGGTCCACATCGCAGAGCTCATCGGCATCCTTTACGCGGTCGATATGGTATTCAAGCTGGCCCACCAACGCATAGACAGACTGGGATCGCTGGGGGGAACACACGGGACGGCAACAATCTTAAGCGACAGCAGATCGGCGCTGCAAGCAATCCGGAACCCAAGCAACAAATCGGGACAGCGAATCGTCCATGCGATCACCCAGGCAGCCTCCGAGGTTCAAGCAAAGAACATCAGACTCTGCCTCCAGTGGATCCCAGGACATTGTGAGAATGCCGGGAATGATGCGGCAGATGAACTCGCCAAGGAAGCCGCGCAACCGGGTAAAACCCATTCCTTCCGGCTGCTACTATCGAGGGCGAACGCGTTCATACGCAGCAAAATTCATGCTCAATGGGAACAGGAGTGGAAAGTTAGCACCAAAGGTGCTCACTTACGAAAGATTGACAGCGACCTACCGGCGCGGTACACGAGAAAGCTCTATGGGAACTTACCCAGGAATCGCGCATACCTGCTGACGCAACTACGCACGGGCCACAACTGGTTATCCACCTACGCGAAGAGGTTCGGCTTCCGCGAAGATGATTTGTGCGAGTGCGGCGCGCAAGAGACGATCAGCCACGTGTTGCTGCACTGTCCAAACCTGCAAGAGCTGCGGGGTGAATTGAGGAAAAAAACCGGGGACGCGTGCAACAGCGTGTCGAGTCTGCTGGGAGGCTCAACCGAAGGTGAGAAAGGTAGACCAGACAACGTCTCAAGGGCGAAGACGGTTCAGGCCGTATTGGACTTCGCCGAGGCGTCACAGCGGTTCCGCAGTCGTGCGCCATGAGGGCAGCCTAACAACGGAAGCGGCAATGGGCCAGGATAGGCCGTGACGAGGCTCTAAGTTCCTGTCAGGAAGTGGATCATTCTAAATGTACACACTCAGATATATAGTTGTCGTATACTGCATATCGCTTTGCGAGGGGTCAGTGTAAATGAAATCTACTACTACTACTACTACTACTACTACCACTGTATGTATTTGATCCATTGCAAGCTATCAGTTTGCTGGTCAAAGTTCGGCACGGGTTGGAATAGCAGCTTGGTGATCCACTGAGACCCACTGAATGGGAATTTTCCACTGCTACCAAAGACGTGCCACAGTATCTCATGCTCTATCCCTGTCTAGAATTTAAATCAAGGGGGAAAATGGCTCCAATGTTTACAGTCAGCTGGACGAAATAGAAGTAACGTACTTTTTGTTACAGAATGAAAATTACGTGGAATGGGCGACTATCTCTTCTGACTTTTCGCTGATTCGCTTCTTTGGTTGTCAACAGTGGTTCATCTCCCAAGAATAACTGATAGTTTAGCCCCTTTCTGACCCAGGCCTCCCACACTTGATCATGAATTCAAGCTCGCTTTTCTGAGCTCTCTGCCAATTGATAGCTCACATCTACGACGTTATGGTGGAATTGCCAATATGATGAACTTGTCGATAGTGAGGTCTTATGTCCTCATTTCACTGGCCTTCCATGTCTCTGGTAAGAATACCCCTATTTCTGAAAGCATTCATAACTCGCTGAAATCGCAGTCACGCAGCATTCAAAGTCACCTGGCCTAATGATGGAGATGTTGTGAGCATCTTCAATGGTATTGATACCACATGGTCGTATAATTCAACCGACGATATTGCAAGGCCCCTCTCCATTCAATTTCTTCAATTCCAGGGTGCTCATACGAGTATTACAACCGTGGGATATAACCTCAACATTACTCGCGGCGCATATAAGATTAAAACTGCAGTGTTTGTGGCAGAGTCTTACGGTCTCAATTTCTTGTTTGACAATGAGATTTTCGGAGTAAATGGCCTGAGGGCGTCTTTTTCATCCGATCCTCGCAGCACGCTTTCAATCATTTCAGCAACAGCTGTAACGAATTACACATCCACAATCTCTACAGTCCAGATCGCTAGCCAAACGATCGATCAAACCTCTGGATTACCCACGGACTCAGCCCAAGCGCAAGAAGCAGCCAATGAGACAAAAAGAGGCGGACTGAGCCGAGGAGGTAAGATCGGGACTGGAATAGGCGTTTCTATCGGTACAGCCGTAATTGTTGGATTTTTAATTTTGCTTCATCGACTCCATCGTCGCGAAAGAATTCGAGAACCTCAACAAGACTCGGTCCCAGTATCGATACCAACGGAAGTTGGAGGGACAGACTTGAGACCTGAGCTTGATGGCAAACCTGTCAGGCCTGTGAGTGAGCTACCTTCTTAATTCGGCCAAACCTTAGCAATATTTTTGTCCTCGCAAGTGCCATTCTCGGCCAATCAGTATCAGCCATCCTTTATATGTTGACATTTCGAAGGACATGAAAGGTTATTTCCACCAATGCATGAATGATAAAACTTTGCTTACTCTTCTGATCAAATCATATTTCTTTTTTGATCTTCGCTAACGAGTAGCTCCGATTGGAGAGCACTATGAGCAGTACTGTTGTCCTAACTTGGTTCCATGGCTCCAAATCTCGTAACACTCGGGCCTACCCTTCTGTTTCCCAGGCAACAGTCCTTGCTTAAGGTTATATTTGTACGATATTCAAAGCATCAGACCGAGCCACGGAGGGCGTGTCGAGATCATACTATTAGTCTTCATTTCATTCTCAATGACCGGGTGAACCCAATCTTTCTTGGGACATAATTGACGCATCTACTCAACAGCAGTAATTTTCTAGAACAAAGGTGTCGTTTTTGAAGAAACAATTAGATCGACCTGAAGGCCCTGGAGCCTGACTCCACACTGAAGCCCACAAGAATGCATTGTTTGGCCTTTGACCATCCATGGTTCCGACTAATTTAGTAAACTAAATTAAGAACGAGAGATGGGATAAAGCGAGATCGGAGCCGTCGAACTTTATCCGTCATGGACCTTAGACCTAACTAACTTACGCAGGCTATGTCATTGCCAACCTAGGAAAATCAATCCATTTGCATTCCAAACGTGTTTATCAGTTGCAGAAATGGCAATGACCGGCTACTGACAAGCAGTAGCGAGCAAATGACACAGCACGAGTGGCTAAGATCACGATCGACGACCGAAACCCTTTTGCTGAGCTAATCGGATGGTAATTCCCCCAATCCGTTCCTTCTCATCGCCATGATCTCCTTGTGCAAATCTTTCACGTGAAATTCCATGGCAGCTAATCGACGACTAAATATGTCGGCCAGGTCGACACAGATCTTTTCGTTCTTGGCATCCTGATGGCTCAGAGAATTTTTCTATAATCTGTAAAATGTACTTCAGTAAGGGTTTCAGTCTTCTTGCGTACATAGCAAACGACTTAACTAACCGTCCTTTCTTCGTTTGGGTCTTCCAAGGCGATTTTGAAACTTTGGCCCAACTTACCCTAATGCTCATGCCTACTGATAGTTATATAACTCCCACCCGCTCGACTTCGGGAGTCTCACTGCAGTTGTTCGAATAATTTTTCCGTCCTACTCCATGCAACTGTCATATACCTTCGAAAAGTCCTTTTCCATTACCCACGCCCCTCCACTGCATCAAAGGATTTGTGCAATTTAGTTTATCTTCACAACATATATCAGTTTGCTTCTTACAACTATCTTGTTGTATCATCTTAAATTGAGATATCAATCTCATTGTAAGTATTTTTGCGCACACTTTATCTTGAGAACTTGAGGTTAATTAATATTGAAGACATTACTTCCACAAAATGGCATCCTAAGCAGTCAGCGTAGGTCTTTGTGCCTGCTGTGGGCATGCGGTTTCCACAAGAGATAAATCAGCAAGGAATGTCCTTACTATTGGGTTTTGCTGCGGTGGTTGTGCAGTAACACTCCAAGGCGTAGGTAGCCCAAATTAGTAGGCCTGGCACTCAGGTCCAAGGTCACCTCAGAGGGTCACCCTAGTTGGGTGGAGGGTCTACGATGGGCTTTGGGATTTTTATTAGGCCCACGACCCATCGTGGGGGCCCATTATTTGATACACACACACACACACACACACACACACACACACAATTCATTAACGCCCGTGGACTGAGCAGAAGGGGCAACTATCACTGATCTAAATTTACATGCTTTAGCTACTGCTGTGCCTCCTTGGAGCCCATACAAGATTCCTTTCAGTGTATGTCATCTCAGGTACTAATATCCTAGCTGGTCCTTGTGGGTTGGTGTTTAGTTAGTAGAATTGCTTGAAGGAATTTCTCCAAGTGTTCAACATCCTATCCTCAGCAATTGAAGCACGTCTACCGTCTCTGGCACAAGGTAGATGGTAGTCGTGGCATTCCGAGCGTACTGGCCACCCATACCGCCTTCAGCGGTATGGGTGGCCCACGTCCACATAGAATTAACGTCCAAATCGAATTTTATTGCAATTATACCTAATATATCAACGCAACGGCGTAGTATCTATACTAAATAGGGCACTATCTGGTAAATTTGCCAATTCTGCATCATTTGACGGCAAAATTAATGGTTTTGGAGATGGTGGTGGCGATCGGCCGTACTGCTTTTTGTATGCGTTGCGGAGCTTCGTTTTAGCAGTTCTCTCGCGTTTTAACGCGCTCGTAGCAATACTGCGATTGGCATCTTTAATACTGAGTATCCCATTCTGCGATAGTGGCTTAATCTGACGCTTACTTTTTCGACGTTGTAATGGCGTGCGTATGGCTGCCATTTTGGCAACAGTATCAGAAGCAATTGTAGCGCGTTCGGCGTCAATCTCAGCATATTGAAATATTCGATCAATATTGCGCTGGTGTTTTGGTTGAATCCCTGGGATATTTGCGCATTTGGCGTAATTTTTCAAGCGTTTTTCCATGCTTTTAGGAGGCGTAGCTTCAACACTAGAGGATGAGGGAAACTCTGGTGGTGGTGTTTTTTCCCCATGTATAGCATAATCGGGTATAACCAGATCATCAAATATAGGCATCTCCTTCTCTAGAGCCTTAACAATTGCAGTACCATCGGTCGGATATATCCCACGTTCCTTGAAGCCATCACGAAGAATACGCCGACTTCCCCAGGCATCTCGCCGAACATTTGTAATAACACGTAAGAATTCAGATTTGCCTGCGGGCTCACGTCCCCAGAAGGATAACTCATTATTTTCCTTCTTGAAATGTTGCTTCAGTGCAAGAAAAGGCTTCCCATCAAGCGGTTGACAGATATGAGTTGAATGAGCTAAGAAACAAAAGGGTATAATATCCCAATTGAGGCATCGTGTGATAAATTCCTCAGTTTTATGTGACCCATGACCATCAAACAATAATAACCTCTTCTCACCTGGGCGGACTCGATCAATTGTATGCTTCTGAAAATGATTTAACCATTCAAGAGCAAGATCATCATTAATCCATCCATTTTTAGAGACACTGGTTATCGTACCCTCAGGTAATTGTTCAGATGCATAAAACCAATCTTCCTGGAAAGTTGATCCTTTGAAAATATAGAGTGGAGGAATTGAAGAGCCATCTGCAGCAATACATTCAAGTGCTGTAATATTTTCTGAATGCTCTGCCTCGGGCAGATCTGAACGGTATTCTGTACCACTTATGACATTCTGAGGCTTTCCCTTACCAGGTTGAAAGCCACATTCATCAAAGTTGAATACTAAGTGCGGCGGAAGGGTTTTGGTAACCCTTGCGAGATTGTTATACCACAGTTCAAGAACTCCAGCTTCTTCAGCACCAATACGCTTGACATCCTTAACTTTTTGTCGTACTGGGGCAAGTTTTTTATGTGGTGGTAACCGTTCTATAAAACGATATGCCCACATATGTGAAACTGGTGATCGAGGTTTTTTAGCACACGTAATCAAGCGATTAGCGTATGCTTCCACCATTGCAGGCGTCAATGGCATATAATGACGCTGCATATAGTCAACCCAGTCCTGCAATGCACGATCCTGAGCCTTCGTCAACGCCATATTGGTAGGATTGCGGCCACAAAGTGACGTTCTTCCGTATTTGATGCGCCCGTGGAGCACCCCATAAGGCACGTCAAATTCGCGTGCAATACGCTTGATATTGGGTTTTTTGACAGCACGAGCAGCAGCGCAAGCTTTAATTACGCGAGATTCGCGAATTTCATCAAATTTAGGCATAGTGGTGGATGGTAAGCGTGCAAAATAGGTGGAATTGCAAAAAAATTCGATATGGACGTTAATTCTATGTGGACGTGGGCCACCATCACCGCGAAGGCGGTGATGGTGGCCAGTACGCTCGGAACGCCACGACTAGGGGTTAGACTGGGGTTGGGGTGGGTTAAGATTAATCTTCGTTGGTCGACACGGTTAAGCGGCGTCGAGTCGGCCCGTGGTGATTGCAAATCGTATTATGGCTCGCACTGCTTCCAAATTCGGCTTCCAGTTCTGGTCCTTCAATTATGGTAGGTGTAATGGTAGGTTCAGGCTCCCAGGAGCTCATAGCGAAATTTGGACCAATTATCTCTACTGGGGCTTTGTGGTACATGTGAATCATTCATGGCACCGATTGGCTCATTATCCCTCCACTCTATTAGTGGTATCCAATGATCGCATCAATATTTACGACCCACAGGCTCCTGGGAGCCAAGGCCAATTATTAACCAATAATTTCAAAGACGACTTGTGAGCATGTGGGCCATTGATGGCACTAATTGGCTTATATCTCCGAGTAGTACCCACCCGCATCCGCTTCGTTCCCAGGAGATTGATGTGGGTAATGCCTTTGCAAAGACGCGGCTGACCGCAGAGGTTTGTTCTTAAAAAACGTAATCGAACTAATGACTGGCTCGCTGTACAAGAAACTCTGTTGTGAGATGGGGCTGTGCGAATCAGTCCCGCGCCGTACCATAGCTTTTATCTACTTGATATTGTGTAGGTGTGATGGATTTTCTCCGATATGCGAGGTAGGCAACGAAGAACCCTGCGGTCTGCCTGCCTTTGGTGAGTTGCTGTTGAGTGCACTCACGGGCTCATGGCCGGTGAGTGAAATCAAATGACATGACCTCGTCGCCTCGCCCATCGCAATAAAGGGCGGACTGACGGTGGTAAATGTTGATAACTGTCAATCCTTTTCTGTTGCATTCTCACGACTATTTACACGATGCGAACAGCCAAAAAATGTTTTTCATGTTCCGGATCACCAGGCGCAAAATGCAATGCCTCTGAGAACTGCTTTGAGCCAGTGATGAAATGTTGAGCTAGTTATTCATTGAAGAGTAGTTTGAGCTTGAGCCCTCACAATTCACAATGATGATCTCATTGATGCA